ACTTGGACTTCCAAGAGTTCGCCGCATGCGTTCTATAAATAGAATAAATTTTAAGGGCATCCCACGCGTCGCGCGCGACAGCTGCTGCAGCTCGACCGTGATATCGAGGAGTTCGCCGTCGTGCATTTACCAGATAGATACACGTAACACGTGCGTCACGCGTGCGTGTCTACGCACCGTGCAAAGTACAGTTACGTTGCAAGAGTAAATTAAAAAAAAAAATAAATATGTCAGTGGTTTCTCCTCCTTCCTCATACATTATCCGGAATATTTGGAATTTTTCCGATTTTTTTATTGCAACATACACACAGAAAAAAGGACATTCTTGTTTTAAAAATATATTTAGTTTTAACATGGAAATCTGGAAATGAGATTATATTGCGTTAATTAAAGAAAAATATAATTGCTTACTTGAATGAAGCCATTTAATATAGTTCAATGGAGAAAAATATATTCTTATGATTTAAGATTTAATTTTCTTGAATGGAAAAGAAACAATGCTAGATAGAAAATAACATTTTTAAATCAAAGATTATAATTTTCTTAAAGTGGAATTAAATAATTATATATTCTTGAGATGATAATTACAATATTGAAATAAGACTATAATATTGTTGAAATTTAAAATTATTAAATTCTCCTAAGAATATTGTAAATTATTGCGTATATACGAAACAATGAACGCGTTAATTTAAGTACATAAGTTTTGATTTGACGCTTATTTTTTTTCTGTGCAACTGTAATTTATTCAAATCGAATATCATTTTGAAAAAAGTATCAATATATTTCGTAAATGTTATTTTTTTAACGTCGACTTGTTTTACATTTTGCGTTTAGATTCATCTTGTGCGGCGAAATTTCTTCGCGTGGAGCTCCACTCCGAGTAGATTTAATCAAAAATGATTACGCGGAGGATCAACTTTGTCTCGAGTCTCCGGCTCGGGATGTCGTGTCTTCGTAAATGTCATGTCTTTCCTGCAATCTTTAGTAGCGGGCCCGAAATGTAGGGTTTGCGCCCGCGGTTTTCCTCCGCGAGTCCGGAAATTACGACTGAGCAGTGCTGTTTTATTCATAAGACGCTCCTAAGGCGTACGAGGGAATCGATATGCACACGCCGCGTACGTATGTACTTGAAAAGGTTACATAAAATTTATCCGTTTGATAAATTTTATTATATCCGGCAGCCCCGCATGCCGATCCTATTTGATTATCGTATATTAAATTTGGCTCGGACGCAGAGCGAAGGAGAGTGCACTAGTGAGTAAGTCACTGGAATTCTCTGAACGTCAGCTGGCCCCAACATGTTGCGGAAACGGACCCCTGCTTATCCTCGAGGGCCTTAATCCTTCGATACCCCTCGACGAACTTTCAGAAAGTGGGGAATTCCTTTGAGTTCGCTACGCCCTCCTCAAATTTCTCCCCCTCTTTTCTAACTATTCCTCTCTATAGAAATTGCATGACGTAAATATCCAAACTACAGCTAAATACCTGTGAAATTAATATAATTATTTATTTAAAAAAATGACTGGCAATGTTTCAAAAACCATCAATTTATTTCTCCTCGATTACAAATAGCAAAGCTCGACAGCTGTGTTTGATTTTGCGAAATCCGCTTTATGATTGTGACTCGAATGGTGGAATATTATATTGATGAAAAATACATAAAAAATATATATAACTTTTCATCAAGATCGGTGGCTCGAAACCGGTATTTCCGACGATTGCGCTTTGTTGAAGAGTGTGCATGTAGGCTGGGCCGAGGACTTATTGATTTATTCAGAGGGTGAACACAACCACCATTACCATTCCCGCCCTCTCCTTCCCTCTTTCTCCTGCCCCTTCTTCCACCCTGACAACCAACGTTGGGAGGCACGCGCGTCATTGTCCTCGACCACTCTCACTATCTCCAACCCCCGACGAGGCAGCCTTGCGAAATTGCAGCTGATGCCGTTCCTCCAACAAGTTGTCGGGGAACTATCCCGTCACGCCTGGCCAATCGCATGTCCGGTAGCGTGTATAATGCAGAAAAAGGAACAATTTGTGTCGGCCGGAAAGTTTGCGAAGCCGCAAATTCGCAAAAAAGAGAGAGAGGAAGGTGTTAACTACAGCTAAATACCTGTAAAATTAATATAATTATTTATTTTAAAAAAAATGACTGGCAATGTTCAAAACGTCCATCGATTTATTTCTCCTCGATTACAAATAGCAAAACTCGACAGCTGTATTTGATTTTGCGAAATCCGCTTTATGATTGTGATTCGAATGTTGGAATATTATATTGATGAAAAATACATAAAAAATATATATTACTTTTCATCAAGATCGGTGGCTCGAAATCGGTATTCCGAACCACGATTGCCTTGTTGAAGAGTGTGCATGTAGACTGAGCCGAGGACTTATTGTTAATCGGCAGCGTTACATGTAAAATATTAAAATAGAAAATAGAAAAAAATTGTATCTTTCACTTACGAGAGATTAATAACGGTGCAAAAGAAATTTCGCATCCTGGAAAGGTCTTCACAGAGTTCGTATCAATTGAATTTGAGTTAATCGCGATTCTCGTTGTGTCACGAGGACAGAGGTAATTGTCATCTCTGCGAACCGACCTTCGTCGCGACCTTGACGGATCTACGCATCCTCACGTTTCTAATCTCTCCTATCGGTAAATGTTCCATATTCTAAATATGGCAAGCAAGTTACGTTTCGTCGAGTTTAATCTGCCTTTTGGGACAATTTGTTAATTTGACTTGTATAAACTGACACTAAAATTACAGGAATTTACACACGCACGATTTTTTCATAAAGACACGAGTCATTTTTTTGAAAATGTACAATTACAAAGAAATGTACAATTACAAATATTTATTAACAAAATTGGCTCTTTTTTAATATGTCATTTAAATATGCGACATGTGGAAATATTTTCTATCTGTCGTATGCGTGAATTACACAGTTTTTATTTTTCTATATTAATGTACTGCTTTTTCCAATATTTTTATTTGGGATATAAAAAATATTTTTATACAGTCTGGCTTTTTTCCTATTGAAAGTAGATATTTTTTAGAAATATAATATCTTGACTCAAACAATAAAATAAATAAAATAGCCGAGAAATACCAGGTCGATGAACTCGGTGCATTCGAGTCGGCAACGAGAAATGTCGGGCTAGAATCGGTAGGGACTGAAAAGGTCACGTTTTCGTGTAGGTTAGGGCTCTTTAAGGACATATACAGTCTAACTGGTATACTCCGAATGGCAATGGCATTCCACGACCAGTTTACTAGTTGTCGTTTATTATTCCCCAAGTATGGATTATCCCTCTTTTCCTTCTCCTCCTCTTTCACCCTTCTGTAATGATGTTATTGTCGCTCTTTCGTCATTCTTTTGTCGTATATAGACTTTCTTCGGTCTCGCCTACGAACCGAAAAACTCGCACAAAGAAAAACGTGTCCTACTTGCACCCCCGGAATACATTCCAACCCCCGTGGATTGAAATATTTTCGACCAAACAATAAATGCGACCTGCACTGCAAAAGGCAATGCAACAAGAAAGCGTATTTAAAACACAAATAAGTTGCAAATTGCGAAGAGAAGCAGCCAAGAAAGCGTGAACATTAAGATTCCTTTATAATTTTTAATTAAAAAATTACCGATTGCGAATTACAAATAATTGTAGAATATTTCGCCCTTTTAATTATATGACTTATTAGATTTCAAAAAGACACAAAATAGTTTTAAATTTTTTTTAATGATAGTCGCAGAGATTATAACGTGTCTTGACTATGCGAATATGATTATTCCCGAGGCATCGATCGAAGGAGCTAAAACGAGTGACATGGAGACGTGCTTCTTTCTTACCTCGTGGATTTCATTTCCTGACCGAGTTTACACGACGGATTTATCAAACCGGCGGAAAATGACCGTGCTTATCGATCTCGCGTCGTACTTTTCGCTTTCTTAATAATCGATCTTCCGTATCACCTCCATGACGCTTTATCAACGTCTATTCACTGTAAGCATTTAAGATGAAAAATGCGAGATATCCCTTCTTGCTTGACGAGTAGACATACTTAAATGTCAAATTGCAGCAAAACTGGATATTGCATGTGTCCTTTAGACTTCATTTATAAATAGCAAAGAAAAATAATAATTAAGTTCGTGTGCTTTACAGAAGCAATTTTAAAAAATATTAAGTATTATAATTTAAAAATATTAATTTAATAAGCATTTAAATATTTAATAAGTTAAATATGTAATATATTATATAAATATTTAAATATTTGATAAATGTATATTAAAGATATTTTTGTATACATATACAGATTTATAGAAAGTTTTCCAAAAATATATAGCATAACATTTTATATTTTAAAATTTCAATATCTCTTTCTGCAACTATATTTCCCCTGTTTTTCCGTGCACATCCATTACGTTCTAGAATCTGCTTCGCGATGAAAGCCGGGGTACCGCCTGCTGCGAATAAAGCAACCGTTCCATTCCGAATAATTGGCCTAATGCATTATTGCTCCTTATCTTCTCGACCGAGTCATCTGACCGAGCCGTCAGATGATATGCGCTCGTTGAGGATCGCATACATTTCAATGCGCTATTACGCATTTACGCTCTTACCTCTTCGATTACCGCGTGTTTCATAACTGAACGCACCCTCACTTTACACGGGGGGGACTTTGCATGCCGCATATTCCCTTCAATCTGCTCGATTGTCGCCTTTCATGCATTTTTAAACGTTTCTTATGCATTTCATTAATTAGCAATTGAACATCTTCTTGTTTTTATTTATACAAACTTTTACAAATATTCAAATAAGGGAATTTGGTAAAATTCCACTTGTAATGATGTAATAGTATCTGTAGCTATGTTTGATAGATGAGTTCATGTATCCTTAAAAAATTAATATATTTTTCTTATATACATGTTCCCTATATATAATCTTGCGTTTTTATCCTGTCATAATTTCGAATTATTCTTTGCTGTTGCAGGAAGCGGCAGCAAAGACGGGAAGAGCAACAAAGACAACAACTCACCCTCTGGTCCTTATGCCGGTAAGTTGGACAGTAACTTTTTTCACGTGTATTTTAAATAGTTTAAGTATAAGGAATTTCAATTTTTCTCTACTTAAAATTTTTATTTTCATAACTATATTCTTTTTTTTGTGTTAAAAAGCTTCATGATCCTACTCTGAAGACTCATTTTTTGAACAAAATACAAATCTAGATATGAGAAATTTATGTAAAATATAATCTTTTTGAAAAAAAGATATAGAGAATTATGTTAATAATTCGGATAAATGTTGTGTTTTCTAGGAAAGAAAAAATTTTAGAAAATATTAATTAAAATAATAATTAAAAATTTTAGGAAATAAAATTTCTTCCTTCTTTGCGATTCACTTGCAAGATACCGATGTGTTTGTTAAGAGGTCAAAGAATGGTAGCGAGACGTGCAGCGCGTCGCGTGCGAGAAAATAAGTCCTCCCTCCGTTTTATTTCGGTCGCGAATCCTCGTGTGGGCAATATTTCGGCTGCTTCTTACTCGCCGGCTTCCTCTCTCTCTCTCTTCGACGGTGGAGCCCGACTTGAAAATAGCCGAGAGCGTGTGTGTCAGCCCCCTGGAAATGAAATCCCACGGCGTCGCCCGTAAAAACAATGCGTCGAGCCGCGAACTTGACAGCCGTGATCATTCTAATGAATTCGTCTCGTGGAACACAACGACGATTGTCATCCGATGACGATGATCCGCGGAGAGGAGATCGGCTACGCGACGCTATTAACAGCATCGCCGCACGAATCGCGTTGACTCTAGTCTAGCATGCGTATCGCTCCACATATGGCATGTAGCAAGGAATAGTCTAATCTTCATGAGAAAGAAAGGGAAAGAGAGATAACGTATATAGTTTATATAACAAAAAATAAAAGAAAAGAATAATTATTTCTTATGGTTTAATAAAAAATAAAAACATTTAAAAAGATGATTATTTCTTACAATTGTTTTTTATACTTGACAATTTTGATTTTGAAAATTTCTGTCAGATTACAATTTTGGAAAAATTTTGTAAAAAGGACTATTTATCGGCATGTTGAGATGCGCTAGAAAAATTATTATTCGATTCGAGAAATAAGTATGTATAATAAAAATTATTAAATCTCGAAATAAATTATAAATATCAAGATTAATAAAATTTTCAACCAGGAATCAAACGTATTGATGCAAGATGTGAGTAATAAATCTTAATATATAAAAAATCCAAGAATTGCTAAATTTTGCTATTTATTATATTGATTTTACCAGCTTGATTTAATTTTGACATCAATACTTTTGACTTGAAAAATCCTTACATTTGAATAAATAATTGATAATTCGTTAAATTGTGGACAGTCATCGCATTTAAAAAAAGAATTATCTCCTAACTTATCTTTTTTAGGAAAATAGAAATAATTCTATTATAATTCTAATTATTTGATAAATTCAAGAGGATACATTTCATAATTAAAAAATTACTTAGCATATTTACAGACAAATTGAAAAATAAATTGGTAAATTATTCGGCTCTATATATTTAAACAACATGATATTTTAATAACGAGCACTAAGAGCCTACAAAACGCGGATGGCAATGCGTGAATTATTTCGAACATTAATTGTTCGCGAAAAATTTTTAAGACACATGCACACATGCCAAGTTACAGATTCTCTTGGTTTGAGACTTCTATAAATTTTTAAGACATATGCACATATGCCAAGTTATAGATCCTCTTGGTTCGAGACTTCTATAACACCCCCTTTCGCGAAAAAAATTTTTCGCGAACAATTAATGTTCGAAATAATTCACGCATTGCCATCCGCGTTTTGTAGGCTCTTAGTGCTCGTTATTAAAATATCAAATTGAAAAATGTAAAAATGTCTATTTCGCATACAAGTCCATATCCAATTTATTATACATAAAGAAGAAATGACGTTCCCTCTCTCTTCCTCTTTGTTTATCGATCGGACATAATCGTATACTTTCTTATATTCCGTTCGTAACCGAATTTAGTGCGTATCGCGGTACGAAACGACTATAGGATCGTGGGTTCCAAAATATCGCGGTCTTCTCTCGCGTGCTCGCCCCTCCGTCTTTTCCGTCGAGTGAATTCAACGCGTCTATTAATATTCGCTGGTTATTTTCGAAAACGGCTGCTCATCGAGTAGGAAGGCCTGCTTTTTAATGTGCATAGAGTTACACATCCGTGCATCCTTAGGGACATTCCTGGGAGCACGCGATCGATCGCGAACGATCACTCGCTCGAGTCAAGTTACTTGCTTTAAATACGTTCTTACTCGTACGTATCTTTCCCTTATTTTATAATTTTTTCATTCAAGAAAGAATAATTTTTCTCTCATTTATAATATGTATAATACTTTTCAACAGTCGAGCGACAAACAGAATTAATGTATTTCTCCTGTATTTGACATATCTTATCGTCGATAAGCCGCGATAACTCGACAACTAAATTTACGATATATTATTTATTTACGTGAATTATAAATCGTTCAACGCGAATTTCCCATTAACTTGAAATTCGATGACTGTACTTTTTAAAATCTTGAGAAATTTTTTTCGATAATTTCGTACGCTTGGACGGTGCATGAATGCTAGGATTTTCAAGTAAGGTAATATTAATAGCTTGACCGGCTTGGACCGTGTCCAATAATAACAAATTTATCCTGCATACTAACTATGCAACTAGATACTTGCAAGGATTAGATGATCATTGTCGTGAAAATAATTTTAGATAAAATTTCGTTAAATTACAAAAATATTCTAAAATATATTGAAACAAAGAGAAATAATATTTGAAAAAAAAAAGACAAATAATTATCTTTAAAATCCAGAAAAAAAATTAGGAAATTTCTGAGACATACTAATGTTGTAAGATTGAACTCTAAATCATTAATGATAAATTTAGAAAAAGAAGACACCATGTATTTGAATTCAACAATAATCGCTATTGATAATCCTGACAGTCTTCAAATCCTTTTTAAATCATTTTTAAAATTTTCTTTATATATCTTGATTAAGGAAAATCGATAAGTTTCTACTTCATAACGATTTTTATCTTATTTAGAAATGGGAAAAAAAGGGTGGAGTAATTACAATTATTTATATTATAATTCAAGGTCTGAAACTAATAATTTCTTCTTAAAATCGAGTACATCAATTTATCTCCAACACTATAATATAGCCTCATAATTTTGTGAAACGGAATTCCGAGGATCTTCCCGCTGCTCCATCAGCTGACGGCCACGCGAGAATGGCTTCACGAGTGGGTGAAGCACGAGACTTTACCCGTCGAGGGTTTAATGAACCCCGAGGTTCGATGTCCCTTCGAAGGAATCGACCATGGGCAAGGAAAAGCGAGCGATCGGTAGAGACAGGTGCGGGATAGAAAGAGAGAGAGAGAGAGAGCACGACATAAACGCGGGATGCTGCGCGCGGGAGATCGGACACACCCAAGAGAGTCTGCGTCTCCATGTCCTATAGGTATACACTATCGGTATTGATCGCACGCACCGGCTCTCCTCCACGGCAGGGCCATCTTCCTTCCTTCCTTTCATCCCTCGGCCGTTCATTGGCCCACCGCGCTGACACATCACACATATACATATACGCAAGTGCATATATTTTCTCTCTCTCTTTTTCTCTTTCTCTTCTTCTCGACATGACCCTTTGTGACCTCGATCGCGGGTCAATCACTGTTTCAACTTCCGGAATATTCAGGTAGAGACTCGAGGAAATTTCCGTATCAAACTTGATTATCTGATTTTCAACCGGGAATAACGTCGTTATACCCGATCTTTGCGTAGGACAGACGAAGCTAGGAAATCTCTTAGTATCTCGGATTTAGCGCTAAGCTCGAGCAAGTTCCGGCGCGTTAGTGAAATGAAACATGGCGAAGATTCGCGTTTGCGAAATCATAAACACGAGTGCAATGAAGAATTAACGTGTTCCATCAATTATGCTACATGAACGTAAAAAGCGATCTTTGACGACCGTCGAATTTGCTTTTACAGCTGGACAAGTATTGATTTGCGAAGCGGGGATAATGTTTTGTCGTCCTGTAAGAACAGCTCAAATTAATTTGACCATAGTTCTCTATAGTTTTTTCTACAAATCCAGTAGAAATAAGAAATCTAAATTTTCTTTCTAATCGGAACGTATAAAAAAATTTATGCAACTGTTAAATATGATAAATACAACTTCTTTCTTTCGATTTGTCATTTTCCCAAAATTAGCATAAAAACATCGATATTTTTATGATTGAACCTAAACTTCTCTTTTATTCGAAGAGAAATTATTGTTGAAACATCTTAAATAGATTACTCTAAAATTAGATTAGATAGATTACTTTAAAATTAGATAGACTACTCTAAAAAAACGTACATATTATCACTATTGCCTCCGTCCCTCGTTTATATTCTTTCGCGATAATATATTTAAATATCGAAAATATGGAGTGTTTATATACCTTGTTTATTAGCGAGCGAGACCTGTACGTCAACCGAATCCACGCAATTAATTAACACGCGGATCGAGCAGCCGACACGTCTAGGTCTATGCACGGACGTTACCTTGACACGTTATCGCTCAAAGTCATGGCCAATTGAAGACATGTAGTTGGCTTGCGTGCCGCGTGTTCTCCAGAAAGAAAGCCAAACGATACGTTTTATATGCGCTCTCGATGTCTATCATCGCGAGAAATGTGTGTACGTAATTATAATCACGACACACGATGTCTCCAGTAATTGCATTGGGACTCGCCGATGAGCGTATTTTTTCTTTCTAATGAAAATAAACTAAACAGAAATTTGAAAAATAATATCGAAGAGAGAGAGAAATATATTTTCATCGGTTAACTGTGAGAAATCCACAAAATATTTGCATGGGAAAAGAGCCGAGTGTCGCGATGTCCGGCAACAGGCGTCGCATTAATAATGATATAGTTCCTCTTAATCCGATGGTCATTGTTATGCGACTGGCAAGAGGATCATCTCAGAATCTTCTTCTTGGCTGCTTAACATATGGCGCAGTTCGCAGTTGAAATCCGTTGATATCCGCGTGTCTACGTCCGATCAGTCCGATCAGTCGAGTTATGTGGCGCCTTTCACACGACTGCAACCATCATCTTGTCTTTACTTAGGATATTTTTATATTTCATTAATTGGACTCCTTTTGAGCAATTTTATTTTTCGCCGTGATATACAATATAATGCTTGTTGGAATAAAAGTTTTATAGGATGTCATTATTGCTTTTTTTCATAGGGAAATTTGATTACTTCCATAGAAGCAAAATTTGAATGATTAATCAACAAATTTGATTAATCAATAAATTTGAATTAATAAGAATTTATGCGAATGTGAAATAATATTATAATACTATGAATAAAGCGTTCGAGCTCATAAAAATCTTACTGTAATTTAAATAATTCCATAATATTTGTACACTCTAAACGCAAACCGAATAACAGAAATCATCTTTTCCAGACAAGTAAAATATTCATTCATTCATTTTAAATACTAAAGAAACCGCAAAACATGACGTTACTCTATTACATTGAACGACAAAAGTAGACTTTGATTCACTTGAAAGAATTGGAGAATAAAAGTAGCTCTACTGTTTTTCTTTCCTTCTCATGTTGTTCAAATTTTTGAAATAAACGATAAAAAACGGTTCGAAATGTAAATAGTAAATTCATCAGTATCATTATCACACTTGTTAAGGAATATATTCCATTGAATGTTTCTTGTAAATCGATTCTTAAAAAATTCTCGCGAAATATCTCACACGTGACAGCATCGATTTATCCTGATGTTATTCTCGGCGCGAAGATGTGAATCATATTTTTTGTCGCGCTTTGAGAGGACGACGTCTCTCTCGAGTAACTTGAAATCGCTAAAGTGCCGATCGATTACGACTGCTTTATTTTTTTCTTTTTTAAAGAAGCGAGCGAATAATTAATAACCGCTCTGCGACGCAAACAAGGAAAAATTCGTCCACTGCAATAGTTCATTAAGGATTAGATAGATCGATCGATGTCAAAGAGACAAATATAGATTCACAACCGACTGTCAGAAAGACGGATGAGAGGGTAGATGTTCATTCGCGGGTCACATTTTCGGACCTTTGATGTGAATAGAATCTGAGATGGAAGTGGATCGTCTCTTCTGTTCCTCTTGGTCCTTTGTCTTCTTAATGAGCAGCCCCATGATAACCTCGGGCACGCGTATCGATTCTTAAGTCATAATCATGCGATCGTTTCGCTCGCTTGGTGATTATGATTTCAAGAGAAATGGCAGAAAAGATTCCTGGGAGATTCTTGTCATTACGAGGATTGTTGATCAACTGAGCTTTGTCGCAGATTAGTTTCGTACCAACGGAAGATGGTTCGCAGCAAATTCCGATTTAGATTTGCGATATCTCAGATATTAATTTTTCTCCTATATTAATTATTCGTTATCTCATACTCTCTTCATCTAATCTTTCTCCTTCAAATCAATCGTTTCTCTGTCTCTTTATTGTTATTTTTCTTTTCAAAGAATATCGTATATATATATACCAAAGATATAAAAATTTGCTTGTGTCTTGTTCCTATAATTTTTACGGGTTAAAAGCAGTGCCATTTTTAATATGTTTCATCTGTTTACTCTTTGCTTCTTTCCTCTTGTTTATGTTTATACTGCTATTGAACTCAATAAAATTATTGTTAATAATAATTTTAATAATAAATAAAATTAATTATTAAAAATGGTTGAATTAATTATAATTGATGCTGCGAAGAAAGATAATGGGACATGATCGATGGAATATAATATGCCAAAATCAATACGAGATTTCACGCACGTCGCGATGTTTTAAAATCGACGTGATGTCTTCTCTCACGATTTTCGTTCGATGATTGATACATCAACAAATTGATCATCAGTCGTGTAAGATGCCGTGTGTTTTCCGACGTGTTCGTTCGGTAATGAAACCGCGATGGAAGCTTTCAAGCGGACGTGCTTCTCACCGGCTGCAACGCGAACGTGATCGATCGATGATGGAATCCGCTCACCGCTTCCGATTTCAACGATTTCTACTACCTAGACTAGTAGACATCCATCCAGGCAAATAACCGATAACCATAGCCTAAAGTCTTTTTTTATTTTTGCATATTTTTTCAATGCATTAACGGATCGCGAAAATCGAACACACCGGTGTGTAATAAGCGCATCCATTAGATGCACATAAACAAGCTCCTTATCTGTCAAAAAAAGAAATATATATTTTTTATTTATATATACGCATACAGAGTGTTTCAAAATCGAATGTCCTCTTAATAGCTTCTTAGATTCTTTGAACAATTTAAAAAATCAATTTTTCTCTAATAAAAATAAGTTTCCCATTTTTTTATCATATATTTTTCTAGCTAAACCTTAAATTAAAATTCTATAAATTTCACCTGAATTTAATCGAAAAATATCAGTTTGTTAATCTCTTGATTCTGTAGAATTTATTTTGTGAAAGACCCTTCTTTTTCAATCATTCATTTTTTTTTAAATTTTCATAGAAAGATTGTCTTCAAATTAGTTAGAGAATCTACTTATTAAAAATATATTTTTCTAGCTACACTTTAAATTAAAATTCCACCTGAATTTATCGAAAAAGATCAGTTTGTTAATCTTTTGACTTCATAAAATTTATTTCGTGAAAAACTCTTCTTTTTCAGTCATTCATTCTTTTTATTTTCACTACGGAAAGATTGTCTTTAAATTAGTTAGAAAATTTATTTATTTAAAAGAACATCTCTGATGGTTTTGGAAATACTTTTGTATACTTTTTCTTCAACAACGATTCTCAAAAAGAAGATGATACAGCCTTATTCCCAAAATGTGTACATGATGCTGCTACAAATGGGCTGCCAAGTGCCTTATAAATGGCCAGACCGCAATCCCTGATGTATTCATTTAAGTTCGGCAAGTGCGATACGCGTGCGGTTCGACGTGAATCATGGATTTAACACCTGCGGCCCTCGGACAAATGAGAGACTGGTAGTAAATCCTCGAATCCCCTCACGGGGGAACGCTTCTGTTTCAGGCACGGACAGCAATGACGCGCCCAAGAAGAAGGGTTTCTTCAAGGGCTTTTGGAAGAGGTCGCGCCACTACTCCCTGGAGAACCAATAGCCCAGGTGTGCGAGGGTGACGAGCCACCATCATCAGCGGAACAGGCAGCTGCGGCAGCAGCGGCAGCGGAGCATTGCTACCACGACGACCCTCGCGAACAATCCCTGCTGCTGCATCGTCCAGTAACCCCGATTTACACGTGTATCGACCGCGACCCTCATCCCTGCCCCTCTCCAACTGGATGTTGTCCTCTCGCGTGCACGCTCTCGACACGATGCCGCTCTATTCGCGCAAGTCCGGTTAATTACATTGATTTTTTCGCATGAATCGATCCCTGAATCGACCGATTTACTAAGATGATATGGACTGACCCTTTATGATTTGCTATTTTCTTCAAGTTTATTAAGCACCAATTTGCGCAAAAGATCGCTCTTCAAGAATTATATCATCTTTCCTTTATACATAAATTAGACTGACATAATTTGATTATATTTGCCCTCAACAGTATTAAAACGAAAGACACTTTTCCCCGTCTAATCCTGTCGGAGGACCAACCGACGTGATTTTTCAGGTTCGCCGCAAAAGGGTGAGTCTTTGCGTGTCATTCGGTTTCGCTTTCGTAATTTCATTTTTCCTTCTTTGTATATTTTACAATAAATTAATCGAAAGTGCAGAGAGGAAATTGTTGGGCAATTTCCAATAATTTCAGAACTCTTCCGCACAAGGTACTAAACTTTGTTGATATTACATTATTAATCGCGCGATGTCGGCTCGCTTTCGCGAGAGAACGTGTCACGGTCTACAGAGCTGGAACGCGAGAGTCCCGGATCGAAATGCTTCTTCACGGTGTCTTCGTCACGCTGCCTGTCACGCCGCGTTGAGTTCTCTCGCCATGTGTTATCACAAGCCTAAAGTGATTCGCGAATCGCGTACAGACGTGATTCTCGCTAATCGACGAAAGTCGGGAGATGGAATACGTTCCTTTCTAAACGAGCACGATGTGTACAGCAGCCACGCCTAATTAATTTGTTTTTCGACTAAATTATCTTCTTGCTATCATTAATTTCTATAAAAAAAGAATCTTAATTTTTTTCTAACGTATGTAATTTTTTCGTAAACATCATGTACACAGTTGATGTGTCGTGGAAGAGAATATGAATTGCTAATCGTTACGTTGTTTAGCTATTATTAGCCTATTTAAGTTGCCGTGATTAGAGTCATTAACATAGAAATTGTTTAATTTTGTTAATAAAGCAAGTTTCTCTCTCGAAAAAGAAGAGTTTGATTTTCGAACGAACACTTTTTTTACGTAGCGCTGCTTCAATTTTCGACGCGATGATAGATCGAACGCTTTTTTCTATCGCTGCGATAAATATTCTTTGTCGATCGGCGAGGTCACGTGCTCTCAGTTTGAATCTTTCCCCCATCCTCCTTTTATAATCGAGAAATAATGCACGCCGCGCGCGTTGTAGAAATGAGAAACGATAAAACAGAGTAATAAAATAATAAACGATTCAATATACAGAGTATTCGAATATATATATTTGAATATACTCAAACCTATTATTATATTATGCGTGCGAAATGAGAGGAGTATAAGAGCGAGAGAGTGCGTGAAAGAGAGAAAGAAAGCGAGAGAAGCGGGCGCGAGTGAGAGATAAATGAGAATATCACACCGCGCATTATTATTGATTACGATTGTAAGTTTATAGAATCATTAACACGTTGTAACGTTATTATTAATGGAACGATCACCCACTGCATACATATACAAGCGGCACAATACACACATACATACACACATGCATATATACACATCCCGAGATACGCGTTAACGATAATAAAAATAATACTATTGATTAACATTATTACCGATAATATATGATTAACTGAGGTTAATAGCTGATAATATAACGAAGAAAGACGATGATGATGATGATAACTAGAATCGCATGTATTTAATAGAATTTTTAAGTCAATGTGTCGCGTTCATCCCCCCGGATATCTGACAAAGACGACCGGCAAGAAACTACAATCGGAAATCGGTCGAATGCCAAAGATTGTCCCGTGGTGTGTCGAGCTCGAAGAAACTGTAGGAGAGGAAACTGTCGACGAACCTTTCAGCCAGCGCGTCCTCTCGTATACATAATATATAAATTTGTAAATTATATTTTCTATCTCTTTCTTTCTTCATATATTTTGGCGACTTCGACGCTTATATTCCAAATGATTGGAAATAAAAACAAAAAAATTCGCGTGTCATATCGATCGAATGCGAACGAAACTATTCATTTTTCTTTGCAATAACAGTATTCGATGTACAGAATAATTCAGAAAGAGAAAAGATATCACACAGAGGCAATAGGATTATATTTATTATTATAAACTTTCCCCGAATGAAATATGGTATTTCGCAAATGCGTTAATTTCTCTGCGGAGGATCCTCCTGCCTCTCTGACATTCTCACCAAATGTTGGACAAATTTTTTGAGACGTTTAAGAGAAATATAATTTATCTTATTAAACGTATCCTGCTCTTTTTCACATTTATTTCACTCTAGAGTTCGTCAAACTCCGCCAACAGATGACCGCTAAACTGTTCATTCTTCCTCTCTATTCGTCGTGTCATCGATAACGACTTGTATCCCGTTAATAGAGGGACAGAAGCGAGATAATAATTGCATGACGGTGCGTTTTGGAAAAAATCCCGGTTAATCGCGAAATTTTCGAAACGGTACGCTACGGCGAGGTTCCTCGATCGGCAATGGACAATGGGCATTCACGGAGCGTCCGTCACAGCAAGGTACAAATTGTTGGCTAAAACTTTGTCGTTCATCCGTCGACGTTACCGATAAGTCTAAAGGTAATCTAGATAAGCGTAAGTTGCGGAGCAACGATTAAGTTAACGATTTTGCGCGCTACTTTCATTATGTCTCCGTTTCCGTCTCATCATTGCGTCTCGCAGATCAGATCAGGTCAAATCTTGACAATTAGACATCGTCGGATGTTAGGGATGAGAATTTAATCTCTATATCTGAATAAATTTTTTATTAAATCAGAGTTTTATCATTTTTAATTAAATAATCGATTCGATACCTGAATAATTATAGAAATAAAAATATAAAATTTTATAAAAAGACAAAGTAAAAGAATGATGACACTCTCCAATCTTTCTTGTAAATCTTTTAAAAATTTAATCTTGGTACAAAATGAAAATAAAAAAAATCAATCAATGAACGAAGTAGATGCATGGACTTGTCTCATTTTTTTAATTCAGTTTTGTGATGTTTGTAATTTCTTCTCGTGTCAAGATTAGCCAAGAGAGTAATATACTCCATTAATGCAACGTATACATAATAAAATCGTCGCCGACGTAAAAATACGTCTCCCCATCATCCGCAAATGGGATCCGGTGTCATCTGCGAGACGCTGCTCGACGACTTCGTATTGAAGTCACGTAATCACGAAATCAACGAGATTACGTTTGAGATATGATTGCCAACGAGAGATTGCAGCGAACTGTCTTCGAATGCGAGCTGCGATCTATCGATCTCGCGAGAGAATCCGTTCTCCAAAAGAAATGCGGATTTTCTTACAAAATAATTTCGCAAAATTTTCGAATCAACTTTACTTCACACTCTTTTCTCGCTATTTAATATTTTCACAAATAACTATCCTCGCGATGGAATCGCAGATCGCAGTCTCCCGTGGATGGCAAGACGAGAGATCTAGCAAACGAATCGCAATGCGATGATTAATATTGCTATCGAGATAATCGTTTCGCTTTCACTATTAGACGACTGTCACGATCCTCGTGGTTGTTTCACGTGACGTCACGTCACGAAGACGATGGGCGAGCTCGGAAACGCCGGGATGAATCGCGGCGAAGAGATGGAGAAAGAGAGACCCGTCTTTTTCCACGAGCGTAGATATAGAATCGACGGACGAGACGAATCGAACCACCGCGTCAAGATCCTTCGAAAGGAGAAAGAGAATCCCACAGGCTCGGAATAAATAGAAGTAGTAGCTAAGCACCAAACCGCATGCCTTATACGCGAGGATCCGCGCGCCGACACCATCCCGAAGGGACGCGATCTCCCTCCATAATCGATTCAAATATATGTACATTATTTTATATTTATATATTTTATTTTTTATATATTATTGTATATTATTTTTTTTATTAATACATATAATAATATACATGTATATATAAATATATATATATTAATATATACCCAGCAAACACCAAGTAACATTTATATAAATTGTTAGTTGTAATTTCCCACTCAACAATATAATCGTTACATGTTATGTAACTGTTACATAACAGTTATATAACTGTTATCTAACAATTATACAACTGTTGTTTGTTTGCTGGGTATTATATATATATATGTATGTGTATGTACGTGTGTATATTGCAATACGTAGTTACATCTTGTAATATTGTAAACTCGATATTAATGCCTGAAAATAAAAGCCGCATATGGAATTTCAACCACGACTGTACACGATCTTTTGTCGATCACGAGCAAGAAAAATAGAAGAATTTAGAAATCGATATTTGGTTTCTTCTCACCCGTGTCACGCACTCTGTGCACGTGGAATACGTTTCTCTCCCTTCGAAGGGCCAAGAACCGAAGCCACGGCGTCGGCGCGCGGATCGCAAGATACACTACCTGATCCGTGTGTTACAAAGCGACCCGGCGAAAGTAACTCCAACGCGGATCGTGTTGCGTCTCGACAATCCTTCGCCGGTTTCATCGAACGAGGCTCCCGGAAGCTTCGCACGGATCTTCTCATCGGGAAGAACCCGACACGGAAGATCGCATCGAGATGCAATGTTACATCCGCTCAAATTGGGGAGACCTTCGCCCGCGTCCTCGTTATGTTATACAAATTTTGAAATTCCACACACGTACATACACACGCATACGTTCATATAAACAGGAACACACGTTTGCGCGATAAGGAAAAGTCTATAAATATATATAAATATATATAATATATTGTATTATACGTGCTCTCGTAACTTATCTCGCCTACATTACTTAGATTACGATGTAACTCTATGTAAAATTACATTACGTACGACGCACATCTATCGCGCTACAAGTTAGTGTTTAATTATGATGTTACGCTCACGTGTGTGTCTGATCGGGCGCTCTCTTCCCTCGCCGGCGAACGAAATTCCGTCGAAGAGAAAACGAGAGATCTCGCGACATCGATCTGAAATTAAGGAAGAAACGTCACGGGAAAATTTCAATTTTCTTTTTTTTCTCCGAAAACGCGAGAGAGATATTTGATATATATATGTAAAGACATTCCCATCGTTCATTCCATCTTTCGTTCTACAGTCGAAATGGAGGGCTCGGAGAGACGCGGTAAAAATGCCCGAAATATTGGACATTTTCGACACGAGGATGCTTTCCGATATTCGAGTTCGGATAGTGGATCTCTGGCGAGGATCCGCGTCTCGTAAGGTCGGGAAACTTACGGGATTACGGGTCTCGCTCCGAGTCTGGATGGTCCGACAGGTGGAGGAGTAACGGGACGGAATAAACGGCCGGTTCGTCAAGGATCTAGTACAAAATCGTAGGATACGCTTTACGTTATTTCGAGGAAGGGAGGGGGGCGACTGCGAGGTAAAGGATCCCTCTTGGATACGCGAGACACCGGCACGAGATCGGAGCGCCCGACAGAGCATCACGGCGTCGATGCCGACGAAATAACTGCCCCGATGAATTTGTATGAGCCGTGGTTTATCGGAATTATTATCTCCCGCCTCTCCTCGCCCCGAGAGGGAAGCGGGACATAGAAAATATATCGACATTTTTAGACTAAAAAAAAAAAATAAAACCAACGATGTGGTGTATTTATTTGCGCACGACACGACAACGGATATATTCGAATATTGTTGCCAATAAATTTATTACGATCGGATTTGTCACCTTAGTACTCTGCTTGTGTTCACATTCATTTCGATGACCGATAATGTGCGTTCGTTGGATGCGAAATCGCATAACGGGACACGTAATTAACGTATACGTCGAGAGATAATTCAGGAACACGATCTCGACACATCGACATAAAAATAATGATTCTGGATTAATTGGTTTGTATCTTGCTTCACAGACTCTTAAAATAGAGAGAGATATTTAAAAATATTGATTTCAGAGACGTTTAAAAATAAAGATAAAATGAACATTTTGAAATATCTCTCTAAAATATTATAAGATAAATATGTTATAAAATAAAGATTTTTAAATATCTCTAAAATGCCGAAGTGTGTGTTACTTTAAATATACCGATGTGACGTTACAGCATGACGCGAATGTGAAGGAACGCGATGAATCGCGAGCAAGGTGGAATCAACGTCTTGAAATGAGACACAAAATGACACATAAACGTGCGACTGATCCTTAATCCTTTCCCGTTTGTTCGAAAAATATTATACGAGATTTAACGACTGTCTATAAAATAATATCATATCATAATTCTCGAGATTTAAAAATCGAACAGTGTTACAGCTTTAGATATAGAGATATCTGATAAAATTTCTTTGCACGATTTTTGCGATCATCTCTCTTATATCTGTCTCAAATAAAATTGTCCTCGAGTCTCGGATATTTTATTTATAGCAACATTGCTATTTATGAAGAGGAAGGAAACGACGTAGCCAAGATCTATCTACTTATGATCTCTCGGTGAACCGCAGTTTCGCGCGGAAATGCGGCAGTCCTTCGCGGAAATGCCCGCCGCAATTTCCGTCGATAAAATAACAGCGAAGATATTTCTTGAAAGGTCACAAGATACTTATCCCCGCCTAGAAACAGTTCGGGGATACTTACTAAATTTCCATTTCGCGCGAGCAAATTTTTTTCCATTTTCTGTGTATTTTACTCTATAAATATTATATATCTCGTAATAATTTTATATGTAATATGTATCAATAATAATACATATTGTTTATAATAATATATATTAAATAATATATATTAATATAATGTATTGAATATGATATGTATTATCAAAGGAAAAAATCTAATATTTATAAATAATAATGCTATTAATTTGTTAGTAATTATGGAAAATTTCTTTAAGGAATACAAAGCATGAATATTTGTAGGAAATTTTTTTAGAGAGAAAACAAACTGAAATGTCATACTTACCTTGATTACGCTTCAAGTCCATCAGGCACTTCGATTATCAGCGATCCACTAAAGCGCTCGCAATTTAATCGCAAACATCAAACGCCTTAATTCTCTTTCCTTCTTTTTACACCACTTTATACAAATTTATTATTCTCTTAAACACAATTTCGCTTTGTTGTTTCGGTTGCGTGTCGCTCTCGTCGACATGATGATGAAAGAACCTTACGAGAAAAAGTATATATACGTATTTCGGCTTTACAAAAGTTACATCTAGTTGTCCATAATAGCTCGTTTATCCTCTTTTCCCTTTACCCTTGTCCCTAGACTCTTTTATCTCACCCCGTTTGTGTTCTTGTTCTCGTACCTCCCTTTCCGCGATCCTTTCCTCTCGCCGGAAAACGCGAATCGTTGTTGTTGAATTTTGGTAATATGAAAAGCAAATACGACAATAATAACGGAAAAAAAAATCTCCAAGTCTCTTCTCTTATTTGCTTATACAACACAGATCAGATTATATCCCGCAAAATCTTTACGGCGGAGAGTTTCTGAATTATTATGAGTAATGCTTTATTAGCACAGCTGTTATGGATAGCGAGGGATGAGCTATCTCGTTGGTCATCTTTTCGAAGGAAGAGTGTGCGCGCGGAACAAGATTGGTGAGAGTAATTTCTATTTATATTAAAATCCTGAGAAAAGCTGCTTGATAAATGAAGGTAAAGTACCAACCTCTTCCAAGTCTTTTTAATTTTTTTTTTTCCATATTTCTTCGAAAAAGAAATGGAATCGATTGTTGAAATCGATCGGCCGGCCCCGAGAGGAAAAGAACACACGCCGAATGTCCCGTGCAAAGTATGAAGAAACGCGGAAATAGAGCCACGAAAGAGCGAGATTGTGATACGAGTACCTATGTAGGATTCACTTCGTCCTCTTTTCGTTTTTTTTGTTCTCTTTTTTATTACAATTATTTTACTTCAATGTTTATTCCTTCCTTAGTTATCAATAAAAATCGTTACATAGTAGTTTGGGCCGCTGCTTGGCGTCAGACGAATCGACAAGCAACTAATTATAGTAATAATAGTAGCAGTAGAGTAGAGTAATAGTAGTAGTAATAATTGGTAGCGGTATTGTGTGTACATGCTGTGTACATGTGTATGTGTGTGTATGCGTTTGTGTGAGGTTGTTGATCGTGCATCGAATGAATATTACGTCTATAGAAATACACGGCAGAAATTCGCAGATACACCGTTTGTTTCATTTTCGCGCAGAGGAGGAATCTTCCTCTTCTTTTTTCTAGAAAATGGAATTTTCTCTGGTGCAGGCAATTGCCGACGAATTCTCGCTTTTTGTTTGTCAGTTGTAGACGGAGAAGAATTTCCCTAAAGGCCGAAAAACCGAGGTAAAAGATGCGAAAGCGAAAGACGACGCGATGTCGTTGTCGGCGAGTCGAGAGAAGATAAGAAGCCGCGACAGGGGATAAGAGAATAAAAACACCGATTCTCGCGTGCAAATGATAATGAACTCGTTATCTGACAGAGATGTACGAAAAGAGCCGAAAGTTTCCAGCGATATACTCTATCGTACATCTTCTGTCGGCGGAATCTAGAAAAAGTACCCCCTTCCCTCACTTCCAGAGTTTTGTGCAAATATATTAAATATATATGGATATATGAAGAGATAATTTCTTTGAATATCTATTTCATATCAATATATTTTATATTAAAAAATATCGTGAAAGATATTTAATAATTTTTAATAATTTATATTAATAATTTATATTAATAATTGATATTTTTAATAATTGTGAAATACGTCAATGAAATATTAATTTTAGCGTCTTCATATATAGTGGAAATTAATGATTGAAAGTAGATTAGAAGCTTTATAATCGAAATATAAATAAATTGAAAAAAGAATTTATCCTCGGTTACTTATTACGCCGCCATTTTTCCTCTTTTCGAATTTTTCGAAAGTTGACATTAAGGGAATTATTAGGCTCGTTTTGCTGGGTCTTCTCGAGAACAATATAACTCGATATATCTGCGAATGCATCTGCTGTATAAAATTATTCTCGCATGCACGCATAAGTGTGGCTGTACATACGTGTGTATATATGTTTATAAATGTCGGTGTACATGTGTTCTTTCTTTTTACGCGACTTTCTCTCTCTCTCTTTCTCTCTTATTTTCTCTCTCTCTTTCTCTCTCTCATCTTTTCATCGATAAAAATCTCAGCAGTTTATGACACATCGTTCGCCATTTTGTTTTATTCTTCTTACACATAGCAATAATAAAGACAGTAAATAGCTAAAAGGACCGTATCGATTCTTGGGGAGGATGGGGGAGGCGGCCAGGATTGCGGCCAATCCGTGCCGTATCACCCGCTGCCGCATGCTCGCCCGCATTGTCATCGTTTTATCATAATCATTCTTATTATCGCCGCCACCATTGTTATCGCCATCATTATACTTTCGTACTTGCTTCCTTTTCACTTTCTCTCCCTCTCTCTTTCATTCACTTCTCTCTTTCTCTCTCCCTCTCCCTCTTTCACTCTCTCATTCACTTCTCTCTTTCTCTCCCTCTCTCCCTCACCTCGTTTTCTTCTTTTCATTATTTCACACTATCAGTTTTAAAATCTTCCTTTTCTTCCCCATCAATTTTTCCGATCATCAACCATTATTTCATCTCTCATTCTGCATTTCTCGTTTTCACTTTCCCTCTCACTCTCACTTTCATCCCTCAAACGTTCCTCACACTTGCGCTCTCTCTCTCTACCTCTATCTTTCTTTTTCAATCTCTATCTCTCTCTCTCTCCAAGTTTCCTTAACATTCACAATACCTTTTACTCCTCTCTCATTCTCTCGTCCGCGCGCTCACCCTTTCGTGCCCTACGAAAAAGATTGTAAGCCTAACACACAATAGTTTATTATTATTTATTATCATTACTTCTTATATTTAATTCATACGTGTATATGTGTGTATGTGTGTATCGTTTTCCATCAGCGAAACATCACGTAAGCGGTCACAAAAATTTGACGTGTCGCGTATTTCTCTCTTTTCCGCTCTCATTCTCACCATTTTTCTTTCGCATCTTCTCTCTTTCTCTCTCTCTTTAATATCCGTCAATCGATGTACTTTGTGCGCGCGTGAAGCTGGATACGTGAACAAAGCGGGTGTGTTGAGTGTATGATACAAGAAAAGGCCGAGATCGCTTCCTCGCGCATCGCACGCACGTGACCCGCGGACGCGCGTCCTTGAATCCAGGACGTCCGAATTTCTCGCGCGGAAGCGACCGCGCTTCCCCTCCGGAGAAGAAACCGAACGAAGAGTGAAAGTGCGACGTCGCCCTCGTCAAATTGCGCGACAAATTGCGACGCACGCTTCATAATTCATCGCGATTCGTGTTGCTGCTTTTATCTCTTCTCTTTCTCGATGGGAAAAAGACCCTCCGATCGGACATGATCGCGAAGAATCTGCGCTCGTCGCAACCTATCGCGCTCTCGCGTGCTTTTGCGCTTCCCTTCGAGGACAACAGGCGCGCGCGTGGTCCGCAGCAACCCTACGCAACAATGTCATCGATGTCATCGCGCGTGACGCGCAATAATCGTCACTTTATATCCGTACGGTATTCCGCTACTGATCGATCTTCACCTCGGATGCGCGATCTCGCGCATCGTCACAGCCGTTCGTTCGCAAAGTTTCGAAGCATAGAGAGCACATGTGTGGCACAATGACATCGGGATATCGGCGTTATCGATCGTACGTGCCGATACACGTTTTCCGACGTTCGCGCCTGTCACGCATCACCGAGTACACGCGCCTACGAGGATCTTACACGTAGATGCTTAAGTACGTATACGTGTCTTGTCGTTTGAGAGGAGAGCTCCGGGAAGGGGTGAGATAAGGAGAGGGCGCAAGAATGCCAGATTGCGCGAGAGAAAGGAGAGGGGAAGAAGGGGGTGCGTCGTTGTTTACGTATGGTGCGGGCGTGCGTGGATTCGCGCGCGTGCCTCTCTTCCTTCCCGTTCTCCGCGCGTCGCGTCAAAAGGGCGAGGAAAAAAAAAGGAAAAAAAAATAGAAATCGAAGAGAAGAGAATGATGACTCTGGAGCAGTGGTTACTACTGTCGTCGCTCTGTGTGTTGTTGCTATTGTTGCTGTTCTTCATTCGTGGGTTGTCGCGTGGCAGGGCTTGCGGCAGTTCCGATGCGACTCGTGCGGCATGGCGCATTCCATTCGCTGTTCATTAAAATAATCGACCGATATCGTTTATTATTAATATTAGATATTTGTGTTGGGTCCCAGAGGTTACTGCAACAGAAAGCAGGATTAGGGCGCAGGTTAGTCGGCTGCGGACGTGATCGCGCACAGAGAATAATGTATACTGTATTCAAGGAAATGTTGTTTATTTTAAATATATCATAAGCTCGTATATCCGCAAATATATCACAAGTTCACCGCAAGCATTAAATTTAATTGAATATATTCTGAATTTTAGTAAGTGCAGTATTTTAGTCAAGAATAGTAAATTAAAACAAAAATTTGATTTGCTTATTACATTAGAGTTGGCGTAAAGTAAGTTTGATTTTTCTTTGATACAATATTCTTGAAGAGGAAATAAATTCTTCTTTTGCGACTCATGATAATGAGATTTTCTAACACTTGTGATAAGTATATTTTAAGACTGTTATCAAGAATATATTCTTTGTTGAAGAAAACTATTATTTAAAAAAAGAAAAATAAATTGAATAATCGCTTCTCTTGGCAGTAGAAATGATATTTTTCTCTGTGCGTAACGCTATTTAATTAATCGCGAGAGACTAGAAGAGTGTCAAAGTGGGATCAGAACTTTAATCTCGAGACTTATGATTGATCAGGAAATAAAATGTAGAGTTTCAAAGCTACGAAAGAGAGTCTCCATTTCGTTTTTATATCACCGGAGTGCGATATAGAATTGATAAGATAAACACATGGAAGCCAACGTCAAAGCTTTCTTTACGAAGGTATAATTGATATTTTTTTTTATACAATAATCGGAGAACTTTTATATCGGAATTTTTTTTAACGTAAATAATTATTCACGCAATAATTCACGCAAATAATTATTAACGCAATAATTATTCACAAATGACATTCTTCGCTGGATTAATTTTTTTTCTATAAATATGCAATATTATATTATATAACTTATTGGAGTCTTCCTTTCGTTCTCGCGTGAGCAAGACTGAACGAGATATTTAATATCGAGAAGTATTTCAAAATAAACGACCTTCTAATGAATTATCATTTAAATTCTTGTCGTTCTTTATGAAAAAATAAAAAAATATTTATCGCGTCGCGATGTCACCTCGTAGCTGAAACGAATACGCAAGTGCAACGTGATTAGTCATCGCGGCAAGCTGATATCAAGCTAAAACGCTCGCCGAGAATTATCCGCGTGAGTCACGCAGAGTGCGTCGCGTCGAGTCGCGTCGCCTGAAAGCCGAGCGTTCTTGAACACCGTGTGTCACCGAGATCATTTGTTCGTCGCCTGAACCTCTCCCGACGACGCTGACGTGAAAATTTATCTCGTCATTCTTCCAAAGAAGCTTGATTTTTCTCGTCGAATCCATAGAAGATTCAATAATTATTTAACTTGTAAAGAGAAATAGTCTTCTTTCAGTCTCGCGTAAATCAAGATTGATTAACGATATATTAACGTCGGAAAATGTCGCTCGTACTCTTCGGAAAATAAACGACTTTCTAATAAAATATTTTTAAAATATCATTTTAAAATATCATTTAATTATTATATTTCTAATACAATATCATCATTTTATTTTTTGATTTGAATTCCACTGTGCATTTCTTATTAATAGCCACGCTATTTTCTCCGTTTTGTGTAACTGGTTTGTTGTTCGATTATCGGAATGCGATATACAAATATTTGTTCGCAAGCGAAGCGTGTATGCACATCTGCTTGTATTCGAGTAATATTCGCGATACTAAAGTATCGGGGAGGTGAAGAGAATGGGGTGCGAATAGCAATACTGAGTTGACAAAGCGCTTGCAAAATGCAACTGTGCATTGAATCCCCTCGCGAGAAATAACCGAGTGAAATCGATTTTTTATGCTGCGATTTTACAATTTTTCAGAATTCGAGCATTTCTACAATTTTATGCATAGACAAATATGTAATATATCAATAAAAATTGTATCGGATATGCTATAGTAATTATGTTATATATAAGATGTTTCTTAATAAGTGCGAAAAATTTTAGGAGATGATTCTTTGTCGAAAATTAAGGGGGATTTTTTATACAAACATTAAAAAGTTCTAATAAAAAATTGAATAGGTGTTTCATTCCCTTATAACAATACGGGAAACTGGAAAAAATTAATAAATAGTTATATAAATATTAATAAATAATTTTCACTAGTAGAAAATATTCACTTAATTTCATTTCTTTAACTTGTTTCAAATTTGAGAAAAAAAAAACCTAATTTTTATCTCCATTTTTGGAGTGTAATTCTACAGGGAGGAATATAGGAGTATATGGTTTTCATAAAAAATCCTCCTTAATTTTCGACAAAGAATCATCTTTTAAAATTTGCCACACTTATTAAGAAACCTGTATACAGTTCTATTGAGTATGATAACTATTTAAAGAATCAACGTTTATAATTGTGAGAAGCTTGAGTCATTAAGAAGTCCATAAGACAGCTCGATAAAAATTTTATTTAAACAATAAAATTTTTTAGATAAATCGACAAATTTGATATCCTCTGGAAAATCCGAGTCTAGTCGTTCAGGAATATACTCTTTTTCTAAACAAATACGCGCTGTCGATTGCACTTTACGCGAATTACACAAACATAGTGCGAGGCAACGACCCGGTGGAAGAGGAGAGGACGTTTTCCAGTTATGCTTGACAGACGCGCGAAAACGCAACGGGCTCACAATAGGAACTCTCTCTCTCCCTCTTTCTGTCTCTCTCGCGAGTGCGTCGCGAAACGCACTATTGAGTGACAAGCCGATAATGATAAGCGCGTAATACGGGTAGAGGAGGGAACAAGGGGGCGGCTGCGGGAGGGAAACTCGTCGGTTAAATCGATGCGAGGGGGAATTCTGAATAAGCGTCGCGTTAATCAGCGACGCGGACCAACAGCCGATTTCGCGGATACGTGGAATGACGGTGTCTGAGCGAGAGACGTGTACATATTAACTCGCGAAATCTTGTCCAACTCGTCCTACGAAGGAAACATCTCTGCTCTCGACGAGTCGTATTTGGTAAAATCAAGAGCATCTTTTGTAAAATTTGATTTTGTTTAATTTTTAAAATTTTAGAGTTTGATAAATCTTGACGATGGAGACCGAATTAAAAAATAATTTGGCAGAATGAAAATATCGCGTTGATCGAACAATCTTGATGAGGGATGAATTTTAGTCGATTCAAAATTTTATATAATATTTTATACAATACTTTAGTATATAAAAAATAATATAAATAATAATGTCGAGTATGGGAAATAATAATAAATTCTCTTGAGAATAATAATATCTTATTAATTTGCTAAAAATATTCATGGTATTTCTGACTTGTTTAAATGTTGTAATATCTTTTATTAGCGCAATTTCTTCCACGTATTTGTAAAGTTAATTAAATTTCATTGTCAGACACACACAGGGAAACTTTCGTCCGTAAGCGGGATTGAAAAGTTCCTACGAGGGTGAATTTAAAGGAGGTAGAACGATTCCGTTGCTTGCGCGAAAGCAAGGATCTTTGTAGAAATTTAAAACACGTATCTCTTTGAAACGAAATATTTCCCAAAACTCGAGTTTTCCTTCGATAAGATAACGAAACTCCGCGAGAAAACGCGATCGTGACGATTTATCTCGAGGGGACGAAGATGTTTCTTCATCATCATACTGACCTAATAGCCGCAGGACACGAGGTACTCGCCCAATTTTTCAACGACAGATGCGGCCTGTTGCGGCTGTATGGGGTCCTCGTATAGGGAGACAACTACTGCCTGCGTCGTCTTCATGCAGTGTACGCCGATTTTGCCAAGTTTTGCCCTTATCACACGGTCCGTGCCCGACAGGTAGATGTACCTGCTGCCGGCTAAGGTAACGCCCGACGACGTCAGGATGTCTTGCTCCTCGAAGCTCTGCACTAATTTCGCGAGCTCTTCTTTACTTACCTGGAAATAGAGAGAAAAGCCTGTTATATTATCAGTGACAGCGCAGTGACATCGTAATAATGCGCTTAAGCTTCTCAGAGGAATGTAAATCCCGGAAGCTACGACCGCATTCCGTGTTATAAGAGAGTATTATATTATTATTGCAAGATTGTGACGTCAACTTTGATGTAGACATTTTATTAAAATAAATTTATTAAAATAAAGATTCCTTAATTTATAAATAAGAGACTTTTTGAATAAAAATGTGATATTTCCAAAATTAATCGTAAAAATTTTGTACTGTATCATGCCAAATTAATGTATAAAAATTGTTCTTTTATATAAAATTAAATTTAAAATTAATTTAAAATTAATTTAAAATTAATTAAAATTAATTTAAAAATAATTAAAATTAATTTAAAAATCATTCACAAAAAAATTAAAATTTATAATTCTTTTCACAATAAAAACTGTCGATGAAATGAAAAATTTCAAGGAAGAAAATAAATGAATTGAGAGAGAGAAAGAGAGAAAGAGCGATGGAACCAGCTGTCATTTATTAGTAAAATACCCGCATATCACGCTTGCGTCGTTATCTATTATTATATCACTGTAAACCATGATGTTGAATCTTGATTACACAAGAGCAAGCACACCAGAGCAAGCACACTACTCGTAGCGATCCGCAAACAAACGATCGTCATTCATGCTGGATACGCACGCACAGGAGCGAGTCTGTGTTTGAGTCTGGATATTTAGAAACGCTACATTCTGTCTATTTTATTCTTGCGCAGATGCTCCCGAATCCTGCAAATGCATAAATAAGCGTCCGTCGAAGAAGGCTTCTTTTATTATTCAATATAAGCGGTTCAGGCGAACCTTTTCCATCTCATTTCCATAATTAGATGACGTAAAAAATATATTATTTTTAAAATTGAATGCATAAGGATTTAAATGTCATATTCGCTCGATTAGAGATTGATTCGAGGAATATAATACATTTTGTCTTTCATTCTGCATCTTGATTCGTGAGACTTTTAAATAATTGCGAAATTATTTTGTGACTGATTAAATTTGTATTTTGAGAAAAAAAAATAAAAAAAAAACGATATTAAAAGAATGTAAATCGTGCGAAAATATATTCCTTTGATGAAACAATCTTTTTTTTTGTATCCTAGCAATCAATAACAACATATTCAACTACGATCTAAAGTATCTCAAGTTCATCTGAGAGTCAATTTTATATACGAAAGATGCATATGGATGACGTCATTGGAGTTTTCATAAGAGCAGAACTAGTCGCCAAATCATCTCTCTCCCTTTCTTCCTCTCCTCACAGAACATTTCTTGTCAAAAATATATTTTCGTGAAAAGTTCAAAGTTCACTACCTACTTATATTCGTGATATTAATTGGAAGACACCTCATGTCGAATGAATTTCGCATGCTAATTTATTTTGAAAAACTATAAAAAAAACATCTGATGACATCTTTTATGCTTGTTTTTTAGATCTAATATAGGGGATTATGCATTATTAATTTATGCATCAGCGGATAAAAGCATCTCGCAATTATTTATCGTTTAATTATCATAATCGTTTGTGCGTCATCTTAGTCATAAAATTATTGTTAATAATGTTACTAGAAAAATGCCTCTGATGCACCTATTTAAAAACGATGTAATTTTTTCTACGATAGTAGAAAATAATTCTGATTAAAAATAACTTAGAAATATAAGATGATTCATGTTATTGAAATATGAAACCGAAGTTAAAACTGGAACAGTTAATATATCATTTTACGAATAAAGAAACGAATATATACTTAAAAGTACGATAGTGTATTTTAACCTATGAATAAAATTAAAGTCCCGTCATCAAAATAATTAATATGAAACATTAAACTCCAATGCAACAATTTTTTCTATATCTAAAAAATTCGTTGTTAAAGCGACAAATAATCTTGAAATGATTTTATGTATAAGAATTTGCTTTTCTATTTATATCGATGTGATAAAGGAGCTATTAAGAAAATCACCACATTTCCAAGAAATCTATCTCTGAAATATATATATATATATATATATATATATATATATATATATATATATATATATATACGTGACAGATCCGAGAAAAGATCACAGATTTCAAAGTCAATTGCTCCTTTGACCCTTTCATCTGACGGATCGGTTGACGAGAGATAATAAACTATAAGACAAATAAATCACGTCAGCAAATTGATCAATACACTATTGCAATCAAGCATAGCTAGTGAGGCTAGATACGACTCCTGTCGAAGCTAACGCATCTACAATCTTAACATTTGTTAATTTTTCTCATTCGCAACAGAAACGGCTCGATGGTCCTTCCACTTTCTTCCTATCCATTTATCAGTCACAGACGAATTTAGAAATTAGGTTTCTTCAACACGGAGGAGAGATCTCTATAGATTCTGATGCAAATAAACGTCTTTTTCCTTTCTTCCTCGTAAAGAGCGAAGAGCTATCCTTCACGAGACTTGTAAGAGAGCTATTCTCTCCGTAAAGAGTGACGTAGACGGATAACGTCCGTGAAAGCGGATCGATGCACGCCTAAATGTCGGCGGCGCGTTGCAGTTAATCCGGGATGATCTAAGACGGCCTTGAACTATAAGTGCACCCGATTACGAGCGTCTTTGTATGGCAGGCCGACCGCCTTCTTTCTCACGCTCATGTTCACGCCCGAGGCCGGCTTTGTTGTCCCTCGGTCGCTATTTCCGCCGAAACGTTGCATTAAAATACATATCTTCTCCTTCGGACCTTCTTGATAAAATCCTGTCCAAGTTGTCTCGATAAATTATAGCGTTATTCTTCGGTGAATTGCAACGGAATTTACTCCTGAAATATTGATTTATCATTAAACTCTATCTATGTAAAATTTTATAATTAAAATATGATAAGCGTTAAAAAATTTGAAAAGTTTATTCTGAATGATATGAAATTAATCGAAAGAGAGAACCTTTAACTTTTGCACTTTCCGATACCGTGGAAAAGAGGTCATCTCTCGCTATTTTTTTAAATGAATCCTCTCATATAATTTATAAAACAAATATTATAGTGTGTCCTTTAATTTTTTTATCTCTGACATATACAATTGCAATACACGAATCTGCGACGCGTGTTTAATTGTTTCTTAATGTCAAGTATCATCGTCCATTTGGCGGAACTTATAAGCGGAATTTATGAGTCTATACGATTATGTTTTTCCTTGGCTTGCCCTGATAACGGAAAAAAAACTCGCTTTTATCAGCGAACCGATAAAGTACGCTGCACCATCAAGAGTATCTTATCCTGTTGCGCGTTGGTGGAAAAATAATGTCCGCTTTCTGTTTAACTCCAACTCGTTTCTCGCATCGACTCCGCGATGACGATGCCGTTCGTGCATATTTAATTATTTCACTCGTTTATCACGTTTTCGTGAAATTACAAAAAATTTCGAACTACGAGAAAATTGCATCTGATTATTCAGAATACAAAAAAAAAAACATAAATGGAATGTAAACCTAAAATTTTGTTTTTATAAATCATGTCTTTTTATTATTTTAATCGCCTGATATTAAATATCATTATTGCAGAATAAAGAATCTAGAATCTAAAAGCATTCTTGTATTAATCCTCAAAAATATGTACGGAAAATTAAAAAATTACATCTCGAAAGAAGAGACTAAACTCGCTTTGAGTACGAAACGCGAGAAGCGATAACTGAAGGAAAAGGAGAGTAATGGAACGGAAGAGTCGCAAGGAAAAGTTGAAACTCTCGAACATTTGCGATCGAAACGCATCGTTCGAGAATAAGAGTTCCCTCGAGAGAAGTCATCGAACTGCGACAAGCTGTCTCCGCGACAACTGCATGATCTGCGAAGACGCTAAACAAAATTCCGCGACTCGCTTTGCGCCACTTATATTTAGCGGCGACCGGACTCGAGAGATATTCTCGTCGGGCCAGACGAGAATAGTGTCCCCTCTGGCATATCGATTTGAGACGGTTCGCGAATGCTAAACCAGGCGTGTGAGTCATGATAAGACCCCGAGATGGGTGGCACGGGCCCACCTTCCGGTGGGCTACGGCCCTGAGAGCGATGAATCACTCGGCCGAAGCTAATGTTTCATATATTCTCGCTTAACCCTTCGACTATAAATCGAGATTAAATCCGTATAATTTCTCTTAGACGCAAACGAAAAATATTTTATTAATAAATTGTACAGAAATGTATAGATTTTTTAAATATGCTATCATAAAAATATACATATACTCTTGGACAAAATTACAAAAAATTTAAATATCAGCTTTTAAAGAAAATGTGAAAAAAAAATTATGCATTAATTTTGTCCAGGAGTATAAGATAATAGTCTGATAGTAATGCTGATTGATGGAAAATAATAAATCTGTGGCAGTTGGCAGCTTTCGAAGAGAATATTGCCGTAGCTAAAAGGTTAAAGGCTTGTTGATCTGGTTTGAACTGGGTTTACGAACCGGATTAATGAACGCTTCTGTCAATCGAGAAAATTAATTGCGATAATCAACACCGAGCTAATCAGGAAGGAGTAACATTGTAGAAACTTTAAGAGCAAATCATATTAGTCATGATATTAAATTATGTTCCTCCCTTGATTTTATTTTAATTATAGACAAAATCAATTTTTAATTCTTCTGTCTTTTTCATCGATAATTTTCGAATATAATTTTTAGAATGTAATAAAATCTCATGCATCAATCAAAGTAAAACTTTACTACTAATTTATTTTGTGGATAAAATTACGAGCACAAGTCTTTGAATTTTAAAAGTGTTTGATGTAAAGAATATATTAAATGAGTTATACATTAAAATACTTGCGTACTACGATATGTTTTATATTCTTTTTTCGGCACCAATTTGCCACGTTAATAAAATAAACTTTATTCTTTTTTATTAGGAGCGTTATTTTCAAGAGAGCAACACGATCATTCCTTTTCATTTAATTCCGAGGAAATTCGAGCTATTCGAATAACAAGATCGAGTCTCGAGTTCTTAGCTCGCCTTTCCTCGAAGAAGTGACTTCAGCGTTGACGTCTCCGTCTTATAAGGAGCGCTAATTTATATCCGATCTCGGCGAGACCTTGTCCTGAATTGGGCTCTCGATGCACCCGGCTTCTCGACACAGCACTGAGGTTTTGCCGGCCGGTATCGCCATTTTTGCGACCGGAAAGAGCACGCGAGGCTGCAGCTGGCAACCTTATCTCCCGATCGCTCTCATCTAGACTCTACGACTCTTTAATAGAGTAGCCATGTGTGACCACACAGCCTATCTTAACCTATCCTAATCTAATCGACGACTGTCCTGTATCAGAATAGTTTCCGCGACCCGCTAAAACTACTCTCTCTTTCTCTGTCCCGCTTCTACTCTTCAACGAACGTTCGAAGATTTTGTCGAGTTTCTAATTTAATCTAACTAATAGATAATGTTCAAATATCATCTTTTCCATGTGAGATTTAATATTAAGCTTTTCACTCTTTTTTTCTTCTTTTCCTTCTAGAGTTTTGATTAGAGTTGCATTATTTAATCGCTTTGAGGAGAATCAATTAAATACATCAATCAATTAACTCTGTTTATGACGAGAAAGATCTTTCAATAAGAAAAGAAAAAAAAAGAAAAGAAATCTAACAACGCGAGTATTTTCCGTATTTTTTAATACTGAACATTTCGCTCTTTTCGAGATATTCTATTATTATATTATAACTTTGAGAAATATTAGAAATCAAAATTAGAAAAAAAAATTATTTTTTAATACTTTTTTATATACTTTGCCATGTTGCAATCACATAGCATATGTTGGAAAATATTTATTTTTCATTCAAAATGTAGTAAATAATTAAAATAATTTATTACTAATAATATATTTCTTGTTGTAAAGATTAAAAACAATATTTTGCAAGAAAAAGTTGTAATTAAGTAATTAAAAAGTGAACAACTACCAAGATTCTTTAATTTTTTCATTTATACTCGAAGGTTTTTCAACTCACTGAATACAATTTGGATATTAAAATTGATAAACATAAATAATTATAATTGTTCAGCGATATAGTAAATTCGAACTTATTTAACTACAATTTTATCAACTTTAATCTTTGCGATACATTTCCTTCAAAGATTAAAAGATTTAAAAATATACTTTATTTTGAAAAAAAAAAAAAAAAAAAAAAAAAAAAGTAAAATATAAATAAAATATAAAAATATAAAATTTTTCTGAAAAGCACGTCACACTTGCCATAGTTACAACATAGTAAATTACTTAAAAATAGCTTTTTTATCTGCCGTTTTCAAAGTTGTGATATAATAAAATATCAATAATCATTGCGTGTTAAAATCTAACTTACGAGAAGTGGAATTTTGGAATTTTTTTCTGATAACGATGAATTTATTTTTCAAAATTACTTTAGCGGAGACTGATACATCTATCTTCAAGTATATCATAATTAAACTTGTGTTTTTTATAAATCTACAACATCCATTAGTTTTCGAGATTATCTAAATGATAAGATTTTCTTATCTCTTCTCTCTCTGAAAAGTACAAATTTAATTCTCTATTCTTTTAATTCTATCCATCGATATTCAGCGATTTAGCAATCGTCCACCAGTTTTGCTTCCATCATCACGAACGTAGACGTCACTTCCGTAAGTTAGTGGCATCGAGATTCGAACCGGTTTCGATCGCCAACTCGACAGCGACAGCCAAAGTCCTGTGCAACGATCATCCTGCTGACAGATTTACCGACAGGATTCGCGACGAGTTTCGGAAAGCGCGATATAGAGAGCGCGTCGGTCGGAATCGCTACTTTCGCTGCGATTCGAAGACGGACTGTACGAAAAGAAACATTTTTTTTTCTTTTCTTTTTAAAGAAAGACTGACTGTTGTGCGACATCGGGATAGAAATCCGAGCAAAATATTAGAAAGGAAAGGTTATTGCGAGCCAAGAAACGTTCTAAACGACACAAAAATATATCTCGCGCGCGATAATTGCCGTGCTTTTCGACACATCTCGGATTCGCATAACGTCTCGCGATATGCCATATTTTTCCCTGTAATCACCGTTATTATTAGCCTCGTGAATTGAAGACGCGAAACATCGTCGTGCAATTATAGCTATCAAAATTTCACATTTTTCTACTTAAGAAAAAAATTTAAAGAGAATACATGGATTTTTCTTGAAAACATTTACTCAAACAAAAGTCGTCGGATGATTTACGTTGCGTAAAATGTCTGTCGAAATGGAAGGTGATGAAAGTTCTATAAATATATACGTACACTATGAAAAATAATATTTATTATGAGCAAAGAGATAAATGATTTTTACGAAAATAATTTTTAAGTAATAATTTTAGATTAAATATAATCGTGTTGATAAAAATAACGATTTTACGCGATTATTAATTTATATTATATTCATAAATCTAAATCTGAATCGATGTAAATTTAGCATATTTATTTGTGCTATTTAATATATGTTCGGGCATCAGTATTTTTATTAATTAATCGATAAATTCCTTAATTAAAAAAATAATAAAGAAGTTAACGAATTAAAAATGCAATATCTAAAAAACGTCGAAAATTTTAATTCATCCGTGTATCAACATATATTAATTTAACTTTAGGATTAAAATTATTCTGAAAAAAAATTCTGAGGAAAAACATTGTCGATGGAGACTTTCATGCAATCTCTTTGTATGCTGCATTAGCCGATTAAGATCGAATTCATAATCGAGAGACCTCGAATATGATGTGTATGCGCTTTTTCAAGGATAAAAATATCTCTTTGAGGAAGATCGCCGACTCTGCTTCTTATCAGAAGCAGATTAGGAAAGAAACTCGTGATAAATTTTTATCTCGCATGTATTTTCCCACAGACTTGTATTATTTCTAAAAACCAAAGCATGTAGTGTCAAATGAAACATGGTGCGACGAACAAGCGATTAATGAACTCTAATTAAGGTGTTTAACCTTAGCACGAAGGGAATAAAACGACGACAAGTAGTGTCGTCATCTCGATAATATACATGGATAATATTCGGAGAGCATTGTAGCCGGATACTCGCGACGAGACGTACATCGGCGATTGCGAGGAAAAAGAAAAAGCTCGTCCCACTCGCACACCCAACCTCTCTCCGAGGCGCCTACGTGCCTCGAGCTCGTCGCCAGGCTAACCTAAAAATTGGATCCGCGCCATCCGGCGGATGCTCGTCCTCGGAAATCCTCGCGGCATCGCCGATACCCGTCGCGATCGCGTCCGGCCGTCGACGGAGAAACCTGCGTCGTGGCCGCAGACAATGGACCACCATTTCCACGTCGCGACGCGACAGCGCAACGTGCCCGGCGCATTAATACAGGGCGGCCATGTTAAGCGTCGCCATCGCCGCCGAAAAGGCCGTTGGATCTCGGGAAGGAAGCGAGAAAGAGCGCGCCTCGCGTCTCGGACAGAGAGAAACCGAGGCTCGGCGCCGCGCGGATGACACATGCGCCCGGCGCATCCTGTCAAACGACGGCGACTCGCTCTCCCTCGTCCCGAGCTCGCGCTTTTTTTTTTCTTTTTCTCGCGACCGTCGACACCGGTTTTCAGAGGCGCCGCACGTCCTCCCGGAGGCGGGAGGAATTTTCGAGCGTACACCTTAAATTGCCACACCCTGCCCGAGGCGCGCGACACGTAAATCGATTCTTCGCCGGCTCGCTCACGCAACACGACGGCTTACGCACGCCCCATGTGCTCTCGCCCTCATCGATTTCGACGGCGAAATCGTCTCGCCGAGGGCACTCGTTGCGTGCACTTGACTCGATTCGATCGATTCGTCGCGTACCTCTGGAAATCGTAGCGCGAAAGAGAAAGAGAGAGAGAGAAAGAGACAGAGATGGAGCTAGCCGGTTAGAGCGAAACATGTCTGCCGCCCCCGAGAGCGCGCGACCCGTCGACTCCGCGGATTCTCTCGACGACGATGATGCGATGGTCGCCTCGCAACCGACCGACCGGCCGGCCGGCCGGCTGGCGAGCCGGATACGTCTACGTGGCACTCGTATTTCAGGGTTAGAAAGTCCGGGAAGCGATGGACGGACGACATGCCGCGCGACGCTCGCTCGAACCGGTTCAGGGAGCTTGGGCGAAGGCTCGGGCGAGCCGCGCGGACGATCTCGTCGGAGCATCTGTCCTCTCTCTCTCTCTTTTTCTTCTTCCTTCTCTCGCTCTCATTGTCCTCGCGCTCTCCCATCTCTCTTTCTCTCGCGCCGACAAAGCGCGTTTTACTCGCGAGGGCTCTCTTTACTCCGCGCACTTTCCCTTTTATCGAGGGGGCGTGCTACCGGCTGTACGCTGCGTCTCCCTGCGTCTTCTTAACCGCCCCGTCACTCTCTCTCTCTGTCTTTCTCTCTCGCTCGCTCCTCGGCTATTTCCCATTCACTCGCTCTCTCACTCTCTCTCTCGTGCGCGCGCGCGCGCGCGGTTCTCAAAGTACTCTCTTTTGGAGTTGTACTCACTTCGAAGCCCTCGGATTTCGCCCATACGTTGCCGTCGTGTCCGGCAATCGCCGCTTTGGTAACACATCTAGACGCGAGCAACTGCTTATCGACGTAATCCTGCCAGCTCATTTTGAACACAAGGGGGGAAGAGGCGACCGAAAAACTGTTCACACTACGCCACACTAGACGACCGCAACCCGTCACCGACTGCCTCGTCTCGCGACTACCGATACGCGGCTCCGAAACGCCGGTCGTGCTGCCACCCTCCTCTCCCTCCCTAGCCCCGCCGCCCCTCCCTTCCTCGATCCGTCGTCATCGCCGACTCGTCCTTCGAGCGGCCCGTGCTCTGTCGCGCCCTCTAACCGAGATTTCCGTAACCAATAGGTGCGTTCTAGGGACATTCCGAGGATCAGAGTCGAGTCGATTGATCGAAGCATTTCGCTGTTCGATATTTCGATCGTTTGTATTTATTGGTGAGCGAATACAACATTTTTCATGTCCCGAAAATATTTCCATACATTTGACAGCCAAACGTGTGACGTTTTTCACGCGAATTGTCTAAAAAAAATCCTTTTATTTGGAAATACCTGTAGCTTGACTCAGGGTTTTTAGTCCATTAGCAGTCTATTATATTTTTATAATCATAGCTTTAAGTTCTCTAGGCGAGACAGTCTAGGCAACTTGAAAAGTTCTTCTCTGTCATTGGTTTCTACTTTCAGGTCCGACCAATCAGCGTCGAATCACATCGGAAAGTCTAGTAATGTTGCTGTTGAGTCCGCTGAATGCGGCCATTGACACATGCTCTTTCCTACTCTTTATTCAATGGTCGCACATGTCGGTTGAAACTGCCCGGTGCCAAGAAGAGGCACATGTATTTAACCTAAAGCTACGTAGAAATATATTACGTGTTAATTTTTAAATTGAAAACAACGTCTTGCAAAGAAGAGAGAAAACAATGGATGAGGATACGGTAAAACATAAGAGTCACAGAGATCGCAACGCAGGCCGCAAGGCAGAAAAGAAAAAGGCCAAGAAGCAACAGGACTCGACATCGGGTAAACCGAGAAATTCGAAAGCATTTACATTCAACTCCGCGATTAAAGCGGAGAGAAAATTTAGGCGCAAGCAAGATCTCGAGACAAAGAAGCAGCATATACCTTTAGTTGATAGGACCCCCCTAGAACCGCCACCAATCTTGGTGGCCGTGGTAGGTCCACCGAAAGTAGGAAAATCATTAGTTATTCAATGCTTGATCAAGAGTTTCGTCAAACAACCTTTGACCAACATACTTGGTCCGGTCACTGTTGTTGCTGGCAAGAAGCGAAGAATCACATTCATGGAATGCAACAATGACGTAAACTGCATGATTGACATCGCCAAGGTGGCAGACTTGGTGCTACTGCTGGTGGATGCTTCGTTTGGATTTGAAATGGAAATATTTGAATTTTTAAATATATGCCAGGTGCATGGTATGCCCAGAATAATGGGTGTCCTCACTCATTTGGATTTGATAAAGAACGCCAAACAAATGAGGAAAACCAAGAAGACACTGAAGCATCGCTTCTGGACAGAAGTATACGCTGGTGCAAAATTATTCTACCTCTCTGGATTGTTGCACGATGAGTATCTTCGTATAGAGATAAAGAATTTGGCTCGTTTTATATCGGTTATGAAATTTAGGCCGTTGACTTGGCGCACCACTCATCCTTATATGCTTGCTGACAGAATAGAGGATCTGACACCACCGGAATTAATTAGGAAGAATCAAAAAGTTGATAGAACTATTAGTTTGTATGGGTATGTATACAGTAATTTAAATTTTTTATTTATGCTTATATCTAAAATATGTTTTCAAAGCAATCTATAATTTTGTATATTAAAATCTTGATTATTATATATTTTACAAAATTCAATATGTTTCTAGGTACATCAGAGGAATTCCTTTGAACAAAGAGACATCCATTCATATTCCGGGCTGCGGAGATATGAAAATTAAAGATGTAAATTTTCTACCAGATCCCTGTCCACTTCCAGAGCAGATAAAGAAGCGGGCTTTAGTAGAAAAAGAACGATTGATTTATGCGCCGTTTTCCGGTGTCGGCGGTATAGTTTATGACAAAGACGCAGTATATGTGGAATTGGGTGGAAGTCATTCATACAAAGAGGAGGATGCAGGACTAGCGGGCGCTCTGATAGATACACAAGAGACACTTGATCAGAAATTACAACATAGCGAACTGCAATTATTTAGTGACGCCGCGCCGATAAAATCAGAGGATGTGAATGAAAGCATGGCTCCCTACTCTGGCGAATTAGTGATGGATAATGGAAGAATTCGACGGAAAGTAATATTTAACAATGAAACAGGCACGGAATCTAAAAATGTTCTAGACGAAGATGACGATGATGAAATGAATGAAAACGATAATGATGAAACAAATGAAAGTGATGATGAAATGAATGAAAATGATGACGAAACAAATGAAAATGATGAAGATGATGATGAAATAAATGAAAATGATGAAGATGAATCGAGTGATGAGGAAGTTTCGGAAAAACCATATGGAAAAGCCGTCAAGAGGAAAAGTAATGAAGAAGATAATGTAAGAGAAAAGAAAAAGAAAAAATCTACGATTAATGCAACTATTGAGAATGATAATCTCGATGAATCTGAATTAAAGAGCGACAAGAATAATGTTTCTCATAAAAATACAGAGGTATATCATTCTCTCAGCAAGGAATCAGATAAATTGATAAAAAATAAAATTTCAGAAGCATTGAATTTTCTAGAATTAATTAAGGAAGATTCGAAACAAAACAACGATGATGAAAGTTTTGACGAGCTCAGCGACGAAGACTCACGCGCGGGATTAGAAATGAATGATCGAGCTAGCGATTTCGAGGAAAATGCATCTGAAGAAGATGATGAAGAAGGAGAAGAAAAAGATGACATCGAAATGAACGAGAACAAAGAGGAAGTCGCGGACGAGTTAAAATGGAAGAGAAATTTAGCTGAGAAAGCGAGAGAAGCGTTCATCAATCGTCAACAAAACAACATAAATCTGATGAAAATGGTTTACGGCGTATTTGACCAAAGGAGAAATATGACGGAAGAGAAGCAATATGACGGAAGAGAGGAGGAAGACGAAAAGCCTGATGAAGATATAGGCGGAATATTCCGAGTAGTTCAAGAACAGCAGAGACAAAAGATACAGGAGCGAGAATTGCAGAATCAGGAGGAGTCTGTTTTCTATCCGATGGAAATTTTACGCGATTGGTTGAAAGAAGAAAATAAGGCGCTAATAATCAATCGCTTTGTGACGGGTAAGTGGAAGGAATCGGAGGATGCCGAGGAGCTTTTAAAGCTAGACGACGAAGCTTTGTACGGTGACTTCGAGGATCTGGAAACCGGAGAAAAGCACAAAGCGGAAGACGCAACTCCTAAGGAGCTTTCGGCGGAAGAGGCGGAAGAGAAGAAGGAGCTTCTGGAGAAGAAGAGAAAGCTGAAGGAGCAGTTTGATGCGGAATACGACAATACGGAGAAGAAAACGTACTACGACGAGCTAAAAGCCGAGGTGGAAAAACAGGCGGGCATCAACAAATCCGAGTTCGAAGGACTGGACGACGATGTCAGAGTTCAGCTGGAAGGCTACCGTCCCGGTATGTATATACGTCTGGAGCTCGAGGCGGTGCCATACGAGTTGATCACGCATCTGGATCCAACGTACCCGATTATCGTCGGCGGCCTGTTGCATGGCGAGGAAAATATCGGTTACGTGCAGGCGCGGATCAAGAAGCACCGATGGTACTCGAAGATCCTGAAGAGCCGCGATCCGCTCATATTCTCCCTAGGCTGGCGTAGATTCCAATCGTTGCCAATCTACACGAAACTGGAGGATAATCTTCGCCACCGAATGCTAAAGTACACGCCGGAGCACGTGGCGTGCATAAGTCACTTTTGGGGCCCGATCACTCCGCAGAGTACGGGCATTTTAGCGGTACAGGACGTCGCGACTAGGCAACCGGGTTTCCGTATCGCGGCAACCGGTTCGATCGTGGAGCTGGACAAAAGCACGCACGTGGTGAAGAAACTCAAGCTGACCGGCGTGCCCCTGAAGATCTACCGCAAGACCGCGTTTATTAAAGACATGTTCAACAGCGCGCTCGAGGTCGCTAAATTCGAGGGTGCTCGGATCAAGACAGTCTCCGGTATTCGCGGTCAAATCAAGAGGGCGGTCGCCAAGCCAGAGGGCTGCTTCCGTGCCACGTTCGAAGACAAGATCATGCTGAGCGACATAGTTTTTTGCAGGACATGGTATAAGGTCGACGTGCCGCGCTTCTACAATCCCGTGACATCGTTGCTACTGCCATCCGCGGAGAAGAATCAGTGGCGGGGAATGAAGACTACGGGTCAGTTGAAGCGAGAGAGAAACATCCATGGCGTGGCCAACACAGATTCCATGTACACGCCGATCGAACGAGACGTCAAGGTGTTTAAACCGCTGTCCATCCCGCGTAAGTTGCAGAAGGAGCTCCCGTACAGGGACAAACCTAAGCATCAGTCCGTGCCACACTTGCGCAAGCCCAAGTTTAAGCAGAGCCGAGTCGCTGTGGTACGCGAACCTGATGAAGAGAACGTCGCGCGTTTGATGAAGATGATCAGGACGACTTACGCGAAGAAGCAGAAGCAGCTGAAGGACACCATGACGAAGAGGATAACGGCGTATCAGGCACGAGTCGCGGAGGAAGAAGCTAAAAAGATGAAAAAGCAAAAGCTTCTGAAAAAGGAGATATTCAGAGATCTCAGTAAATTAGAAAAGAAGAAAAACCGATGAGATTCTTCTAAGAAAGATTGTGAATAGACAGATATTTTCATTGCAGAATGTCTGGTTTTAGATTCTACAATAAAAATTTCGGCCTATTCATATTTTTAGAAATCTGATTGATTGTCCTTTCGTAAGTTTAAATTATATAATTATACGTCGCGCGTATTATTGTATATAATGTACATAGTTAATAATAAAAATGTTTAATAATTCTAATAAAAACTCTAAAATTCATCGTTTAATAACTAATCAATGTCGGAGATTTTTTTTTCTTAGTGTTTTCAAACTTAATGTTATTCAACCCAGCGTTCATTATTTACAGATGTAGCTGATGGAGAGAAAAGGAAACTAATTTTCTGTAATTTTTTTTCTTTTATCAAGTATGCAAAGCACATGCAAAAAGTGGTAGATGATACATGATGTTTACTTCTATACATAATCTAACATAATTGAAATTTAATCATTTGACTTGCAGGATAACAACATTAAAATCTCTAACGATATAATTTTCGGTTGCGATATTGATTTACAACGATTGTTTGATACGCATATTAAATAGTAAATAATTAATAAATGGGTTTAGTTATTGGGTGATCAGCTCAAATGCATTATTCGATATGAGTAAAAAACGACCAAACGATTGGTTTAAATTAGAATTAAATTCATTGACTGCCCTCGTGATTGGCTCTGAAACAATTTTTTTTATTGACATTCAACATTGGTTTGTTGACGCTAAAAGTAAGAGCCAATCACATTTGATTGCTAAGCAGTTCTTTTTCTGCTAAATGCGCATTGCATATAATATAATAAAAATGTTTGAACTTTGATGTTGACCTTGTAAGTTAACCAAATATTAAATTTAAACGTTCGTAGAAATAGACAGTAGAAGTTTTCTTGAAGTCGAAGGTACATCTTTTCTATAAAGAACAAAAACTCGATAAAAAGTAGAAAAACGTAATTTTTTTTGACATCAAAAATTATTATAATTGTATAAAAAGACTATAAGTCTATGTTTTGATATAATTATTTGTAAAATGGCTTGTCAAATTAAACGTTCAATCAAAAGATGTGACGAAGTCGAACCAAAAATCCTTGAATCAGTTTTAACAAGAATTGATGGTGAACATTCCATACATATTAACAAAAATGAGGTAAGAAATTTGTCGACAAGATTTAGATTAATTCTAATAATCTGAATCGCATTCGATCTTAATCAATTTTAATTAATAATGTTAATGAAAATTTCTATACATGTGTAACAGAAATTTATATATTTCTTCTACAAACATGTGCAAATTGTTTTATAAGCTTTATTTATGGCTGTAATAAAATATATGTAATTGTTACAATACTATTATGATCAATATGTGTCAATAATTTAATTAACGAAGAAATATTAATATAAGAAATATAATAAAATTTTTATTATCTATTCATTTGATTAAAACTTGATTGATTAAGTAATTTAATTTATTGCAATATTTTATATTTTATTTTATATTATTTTATTTTTTGCTAAATGTCTCTAGATAAGTTAAATATAAAGCTAGTTTATGAAACGGTTAAATTTAAAAAAATAATTAAAAATATTTTGTTTTTTTTTTGTTTATAAACGTGCAGTTTAAAATTGGTACTGCCAAATATAATGATGAAATTATATCAGAGATTGGAATATCTAGGAAGCATTGTATCTTTAGATGCGAGGATAATAAATGGAAGCTGGAGGATTTAAGTACTTCTGTAACACTTATTAATAATATTGCTGTTCCTCCTGGAATAATGCAAGATGTCTCTCCTGGTGATGTTATACAATTTAGTCCTAACGTAAAATTTAAATATATATTTAATTTTGTTCAAGGAGATAATATTAAGAAGGTATGTACGAGTGAAAGAACACTTGATCATGTTTGTTATCAAATAAAAAGCATTTGCAAAGAATCAAATGGGAAAAAAAAGAAGTCAAAGATAATTAAAATAAAACAAAGGAGCAGGACGTGTTAGGATAATAATTTAATGATTTATTACAGCAAACTGCAACTAAGAATAATAAAGAAGATCTATTAAGGACATTTGCAAAATTATTAGAAAACAAATTACAAAATGACATTGCTACAACACAACAAACCATAAAAGAATTAGACATGAAAATACAACAAATAAAAATATTTAAAAAAATGGTAATATTTGAAAAGTTACATATGAAAAAAGAAGAAGAAATGAGAAAATTGGATTGTATGTTTTAATAAATTTTATATACAAATTATATTTCATATCTGTAATGCTATTTATCTAATTCTTAATTATAATCTATTGAAAATTTTTTAAATCTTTATTTTTATTCCTTATGTAAATATAGTAATTAAAATTATTTTATAATATTAAATAGTTATTAAAATTATTTAAAATTAAATAGTATATAAATAATCATATTTGTAGACATTATAAAGATCAGAAAAAATATATCCACTTCGATTGAATACACTCCTCAGTATATAAACACACATCAGTTTATAAACGATATTGATAGTGAGCTTACATGCAGCATATGTTCGGAATTATTTTTGAAAGCAACAATATTAAATTGCTCGCATATATTTTGTCAATATTGTATAAATAATTGGAATAAGGTTCAAATGAATTGCCCTCTATGTAGAGAACCTATAACAGCAAAGCATGGACACCCAATTTTAGATAATTTTATTGAGAAGATGACTAGAAAACTTTAAACTCGACCTTAAGGATAATAGAAAAAATATTATTAAAAAAAGAGAAGGTAATGAAATATATACTTTAAATATTTTATATTTATAACCCAGGTAGCAAGATGACGTCTAAAGATGTCTTAAAGACGTTTTAAAGAAGTCTATAACGTCTTTAAGACGTCTTTAAGACGTCATCTTGCTACCTGGGAAGTATCTTAATTGTGATTTTTTCTCTTAAGTGATTTCTTTAATCTATATACATTTTTTGTTGTAATATTTCAGCATTAAAAAAGGAATAATGAAATTAAAAAATATATGAAGCAGTATACAAAAGAAACCAGATATAGAGTTTTACATTAGATATATATGTAAAAGGGAGAAAAGAATATTTTAATTTGTCAGTTTCTCAATTAATTATCTAAATATCTGTACAGTTTTTTATATTTCTCATGTGTTTGAAAGTTAAAATTCTATGGAGCATTTCAGTAAATAACATGCAAATATAAATAATAAGTAATAAGATCTAGGAATGCATGCATTATATAATTGTAATTATATGTAACATATTGCACGTATTACTTCTCCACATATTTTTTTCGCTTCTCAGGAACCTAAAAAGATGGAAATTACTTGGTGCAAGATGAAGCATGTGCAGATGGATGCACATGTGAAGTATTGCTGTATTTAGTAGGTGCTGGTTCTACCCCTCCTGTCTTTATCCCAAAAAAAATTTCTATCTCTTTGGATTCCTGAAGAAGTACTCGACTGAAAAAACGATCTGCAACCAATACTATAATGTTTTGGCTTCCGAATATGAAAAATGTTTGTAATATATTTTCATTTTTTTTCACTTTTTCTTATAAAATATAAAAAATATCATATGATGAAAAAAAAGAAATATATATATATATAGAAAAAAAAAATAAAAAGAGATAGGCGAGTATAAATAGTATCCTTTTTTTATCTTGGTTAATGTAATTGATTTTTTATCCTAATTGATGTAAGAAAATTTAATTTTCATGCTCGTTTTTTTTTCTATTTCAGATACAGTTATAATATTTTATAATAAATTAATTTTAATAACTATCTTTTTTTCGTCTATATATATTTCCCTTTCATTTTCCAGATAGTGCAGATAATAGATTAGATTTATGTTGCATTTTCATTCGTATTTTAATATGCATATTAATATGTTTTCTATATTCCTTTCACAATAAAATTAGAAAGCATTTTATTGTTTTTTATTACAATATAAATAGCTTATATTTCTTAATTTGAAGTCTATAAAACTCGCTCCCATCACGTGACTGATTTTAGTTTGCAATCTGCTCGTATCCGAAGCCGAAGCTCTGTATGAGTTTCGAGATAGAGCGTCGTTAAGATTAGCACGTGTTCCTGCATTTCCAAAATAAAGTCTGTATCTCGGTAAAGATGCAGGTTTCTGCACCAAATAATATAAAAATTTACAATCTTAGCGCTGGGAAATCTCTCCCTGAGGTAAAATTGTTATGATACATATGTTAGCGTCAAATTGTTTAAGGTTAGATATAAAATTTCATTGTATATATATTTTACAGTGGTTATCTGAGCGAAAGAGAAGAAACTTGTCAAAAAAGAATGTCGGTAAGAGAAAATTATTAATTAATGTACAAAAATTTGTCAAATTATCCATATTTAAAATATTTATAGTATATTTTATATTAAGTATATAAACACAATAAATATATACTATATAGAAAGAATATGTTACAAAAAAATTCCTAATTTTATATTAAAAAACAATTCTCTTTACTTTTTCTTCAAATATATTTAACATTATAATTGATTATTCATAGATATACGACGACGTATCGAGCTTATACAAGACTTTGATATGCCTGGTGTGAGCACCTCTCTTAAGATATCTAAAGATGAGCAACATATCCTTGTAACAGGCATTTACAAGCCACGTGTAAAGTGTTTTGATGTTCGTAATTTAGCATTGAAATTTGAGAGATGTTTTGATTCTGAAGTGGTCGCTTTTGAAATATTATCAGATGATTATAGTAAAGTAAGTATGAATATGTGGAGAAAAGTCCTATATAAAATAGTTTATATAAATTAACTTTTGATATGGTTAATAGTAATTTGAATCTTTAATTCTATATAAAAATTTGCTAGTTAGAATAATGTTTATAGAATGATTTTAAATAACAAGAATACTTATTTTATTTAATACTTATTATATACAAGAATACTTATTCTACTTATTTTTATGATATTTTATTCCAGTTAATATTTCTACATTGTGATCGCCATGTGGAATTTCATGCTGCACATGGGAAATATTATAGGCTCAGAGTACCAAATTTTGGAAGAGATCTAAAATATCATTATCCATCGTGTGATACTTTTATTGTGGGTGATAGGTCAGTCTTTTAAAAACTTTATACGATTGTATATATATATATGTTAATTATTATTTAAATAAATGTATATATGTATATATATATATATATATATATATATTATAATATATTTATATATGTATTACATATATTATTAATTTACATACATGTATTTAAAAATGTGCTTAAAATTATATCATTGAAATATAATAAAAAATGAATATATATTTTTGCAGTAATAAGATATATAGAGTAAATCTTGAACGTGGTCAATTTTTGCAACCGTTTGAAACAGAAGCAACATCAATAAACAAATGTGAAATAAACCCATTGCATCACTTACTCATAGTTGGCACTCAGGATGGAAAAGTTGAAGCTTGGGATCCAAGAGTAAGGAATAGAGTGGGTGTACTTGATTGTGCCTTACATTGTATTACTCAAGACAAGTAAGTTAAAAACATAAAATTTCATTTTTTTTCTTCAAAAATAACTTTCAAATTGATACAAACAATTTATTAGTTTAAAAACAGTTCCTGCGGTTACGGCATTGAAATTTCAAGGAGGTTTGAATTTAGGAGTTGGTACATCAGTAGGACAAGTATTATTGTTTGACATAAGATCTAGTAAACCATTTTTGATTAAAGATCACATGTATGAATTGCCAATTAAATGCATAGACTTCCATCAAAAGATGGATCTTGTTTACTCTATGGACAGTTCCATAGTAAAAATATGGGAGAAGGATACTGTAAGTAAAATTTTTTTAGAATTTTTATGTTTTTATCTTTCAAAGCATCTTACAAAATAATGATTTATTCTAAAATTATGTAATCGTATAAAACTATTTTGTTTCATTTTCAGGGAAAAAATTATACTTCTATAGAAGCTCAGTATAACTTTAATGATTTATGTGTTATACCAAATACTGGAATGCTTTTGATGTCTAATGAAACTACAAAGATGCAAATATATTACATTCCCAGCCTTGGTCCTGCCCCTTTTTGGTGCAGTTTCCTTGATAATCTCACAGAAGAATTAGAAGAATTGAATTATGATATTATTTATGATGATTATAAATTTATAACTGAGAAGGAATTAGACGAATTAGGTCTTTCACATCTGAAAGGCACTAATTTACTCAGGGCTTATATGCATGGTTACTTTGTAGATATACGATTGTATAGAAAAGCAAGGGATGTAATGAAACCGTTTGAATTTGACGAATATAAGAAGAGAAGAATCCGCGAGAAGATTAATGAGGAAACTGCCAGCAGAGTACAGGTATTATTTAACTTAATTTTAATTTATATATTTAGTATATAATATATTAAGAGAGAGAGATTTACACTTTTATAACATATTTTTTTGAACAAACAGATACAAAAGTTACCAAGTGTGAATCAAGAATTGGCATTGAAGCTGATGTGTAATGCAAGTGTTAAAAACAAAAAGAAACAAGTATCTTCTAATCTACTGAAAGACGAGCGATTTAAATCTCTTTTCAGTAATCCTGACTTCCAAATTGATAAAAATTCTACAGAATATGCTTTATTAAATCCTGTTATTTCTCAACTTGATAAAAATAAAGCAGAAAAATTAAAACAGCAATTGGCACAAGAGGAAAAAACACAAGATCGATCTGATGAGGACAAATCACAAGGTAATAAAAAAATTCAAAACTACATTCTTTAGAGAAAATTCTTTTTCTTATATAAACAAACTTTCTGTACGGAATCATTTTTCTTTTTTCATAAAGGCAATAGCTCGGATGAAAGTCTTATACACGATAGTCCTGACGATGATAGTTCAGATGATGAAAAAGAATGGGTTAAAGAAGTGCGAAAGAATTATCGTTTAATAAGAAGAAATGAAAGAGAGAAAGAGAGTGACGATGAGGATAACGATGCGACTGCAAAGAATGAAATTCATAATGACATAAAGTTCCAGGAGGGAGGATTGGAGAGAAAGAAACAAAACAAGTAAATTTGCTATATACTTATTTCGATTTATATATTATAAACGTTTGCATTATTTGAGTCCTTATTTAACATTATTGTTTCACAGAGTAATATTTGGCGAGAGATTGGAAAGTGAAGAGATGCATAATATTAAAGTGTCCGGTTCGCGTGGCAGTAGGGAGATGACTTTCGTTGTTGGAAATGTATGTCTATTAATATTTAATTTAATTAGAGTAAAACAATATCGAAATATTCTTTATCTTATTACTTTCTTTTTACTTGTATAGAGAAAACGACCCGCGGAAACAAAACATTATCGGAAGGAATACAACGTATTACGCCCTGCGAGAAATATTTTCAAGAAGAAACATTAATTTATAAATTAATTCTATTAATTAAATGCTTTTTTTCATTAAATCATTTTGTAAATGTTGTAAATAATTTTTTAAATGTAAATATATACACATAAAAATTGTCATATTTATTGTTTGCTTCAAAGCGCCATATTACTGTGCAATAATTTTTACTTTGATGCACATAGATATCTCCAAACAAAGGTGAAATGTCATCAGAAAACTGATATAACTTATATTCATGTACTAGAGTGAGCCACATGTCAAACATTCTATACAAATATTTTCTTTTCAAGTTTTCAACAGCAATGTGTGTTCCTTGATCAAAGAGATTCAAATGGCGTTGGTGAGTTGCCAAACTATATTATTTTGATTAGCGAGTAAGTTTTTCAATAAATAAAATTACAATGGATTGTTGATAGTCTTGTTATTACAATTGAGCGTCTTAAAATTAATCAACTTTTTTTTTGTGAATTTCTTAATTTTAGCATATGATCAGAACATATGATTAAAACTAATACTAAAATTAAGAAACTTTTAAAAAATAAAATTGATTAATTCGAAAAATTCCACTCTACAAATTCGAAAAATTGTCACTCTACAAATAAATATACAAAATTTTTTATTTCTCAATATATCAATTTAATAGTCTTTGAGCTTAATATTAAATATAATAGGAATTTGTTTTGATTTCAATGTAAACAAGACAATTGATTTTATTTTGTGTTATTTATTAAATGTGACCAAAATATAATTTCCAAATATTCTATCAAGTATAAACTCGTGAAATTTATTCAATTCTTTTAGATACATTTCTGTATGTATGAAAATCTTTTATTAAACTCTTTTATTATACAACTTTTTTAAGATATTAAAATTAATAAATAAAATAACTATAAAAGTAAGTCAATTTGTTTTTTATATTTTATATATAATTTATAACAAAAACATTTTAATAATTATTCACAGGTACAATCCAATAATAAGCCTAAAAATGGTAAAGATTCACTTCAGCAGAATCATGAAGAAAGTACAGAGATCTCTGCTCCATCGATATTAACAAGTATAACAACAACTCTTCAAAGCACAGTAAGTTATTTTCACTGTTGCACTAATTAATAAATTCTAGATCTTGCTCTCATTATCTAATAGATTAGATTCTATAATAGTACATAGAGGTTTTTAATAAATTGAAATGATTTATTACTCGCAGCAAGTGGATGAAATCACTGAGGATTATGAAAACTTTATCAGTACATCAGCGATACTTCATTATTGTAAACACAAAATACTCAGACCATACTTGAGATTGTTAAGCGTAATGGGATTAAAACCAACCAACAGTGATGATTCAGATCATTCTTTACAATGTTCTATTTTGGCAAACATTCATACTCTTCAAGTCACTATATTTATATGTATTGGATATATTTTACAATATATGGCCTGTTTTAGGTAATATCATCTATTATATAAAATGTAAATATTAAGAAATTTCATCAATAGAATATATATGTAATTATATCTCAGTCCATTTATTATTATCCTGTTTTAATAAATCATTTATGAATGTTAAAATAAAATAAATATTTGCCATTTTGCAGGAGAGATCGTGGATTTTGTTATGAAATATTAATGCAGGAGCAAAATGTTGGCAGGAAAGAGCCATCCTGCTATGGAAATATGATATTCAGTTATTTACTTCCAAGTATATTGCATCTAATCGCATATTTATACACAATATACTTGTTTCGGATTAAAGAAAACGAACAATTGCAAAATCTTATGGAGAGAGCGTTTCTGCTCTCCTCGAATCCAATAAATCGGGGCAATCAGAAGCGTCTTGTACATATATTATGGTTGTTCATAGCATTAAGCATAGTGTGGATGATTACGGCATTGATTACTGTGAATATACAAATGGCAAAAGGAAATATAATGTTTCAGTGGGTGGAGAATAGGTAGCTATATTGTTAACACAATTTTCATTATTCCTGCGAAAGATTGAGTCACTTTTATGTTCCATCTTTTGCATCAAGTCCATACCAAGTGAAAGTAACACTGAAAGTATTCCTGGTTATTTGTACCTTATGGCACGATATGATTCAGGGAACTATTATAACGAGTTATTGCTTGCAAGGACAGTTATTGATGTCACATCTTTACTTTTTACGTGGAAAATTGCTCCAGCATATCTTGCTACCCATCGATTGGATGAGGGTTTGTCATTCATATATACTGATAATCTTTCCCTTATAATTTTAGCCTTGTATCTTGAAAAAAAATCTTTCTTTTTCCGTTCGCATGACTTACAGGACATCGACGAATTCAAGAAATTGTTGAAATACTTCAATGACGGATTAGGCCCAGCTGTATGCATCTATACTATAGTGAATCTGTCATGGGCTATTGCGGGTATCGTATGGTTATTTCAATACTACATCAATGATGCAAATGACATCTATCCAATCACATACGTTAATGTGATGAATATTATATTATGGATCTTGATATCAATTGCTCCGTTTATCCAGGTGGGATGTATACTGCATCCACTATACATTCTATTACATTATCATTCTTCTTGATTCCTGCAGATTCATTTAACACATGTTACTTTTTTTCAGGCTGCGCGCTTAACGAATGCTTGCTCCATGATTCAAGCCGTAGGACATGAGATACGTATCCGACCGTTCGTGTATCAAACCACTTCTGGAGAAGATCTTGACAGTATACTTTTGTATACATCTTCTCTGAAAATGTGCGCCAAATTGTTTAAAATGCCTATCAAAGGTAAATATTTATGTCTTCTGCTAACTATAGGTAGTATTTCTATTCTTACTTTAGGACAGTGCCAATTTTTCTTATAATTATATATAATAAATTATATAGCACTATAATCGAGACTGTGTTACAAGATGAATCGAAGATTTTTCAAATACATAGATAATCTTTATAACAATTATTTGTGAATAAAAAATTATCAATATCAATTTTATTTAAATTATTTAGACCTAACAAGTTTTTTATAAATAGCATCTATATATGTGATATGTAAATAATTGGAAATTGTATATTACATATAAAAAATGCGCTTTCTAAAAATTTTTAATAAAATTCCCTGGATTTTGTATATACTCTTGTGTATGTTTCTATGACATTGCAATGTTTTAGTTTAGCGCAAGAATTGTAATCAAAAATAAACGAAATATTGGAAAAGGTATTTTATTCACTCCTCATTATATCATCCAATACATTACATTCTCCAGTGATGGCAGTAATATTGCAACAGACTGGAACGTATTATAATTTACATTTTTAACTTACTTGCAACATGTAAATCTACAAATACTCAATGAATATCTTCTTTCCAAAAATTTTGTATTTATTGTATTCAAAAGCTATGAGAGAAATGCAAAAATTATATGCATTGTTTATATGCATATGGTACTAATTGCAATCATTTATAATAGAGGTACATGTACAAGAAAAAAAATATTCAGAAATTGATATTTTCAAAGTGGTACTAAAGATTAAATGAAATCCCATGATCAATATTGTCGATTGCTATTTGTATCTCCTTGCGTTTCATTAAATTGATTTATAGGTAACTTTTTATATATATATTGACATATATAAATTCAAAAGTCAATGTCATAAATTCATTAAATGAGAATTATGTTAGCGCATTTTATCAAACTAATATATTTTATATAGTTATTTTATACAACCACCACACACAAATTTCGAAATTCTCAAGAATTTTTGGTGATGTGTGTGTGTATGTGATTCGACATATAGTCTCTTGAAGATTCGAGATATGAGATGGTCGCAGAAATTGAACGAGATAATAGTCGATTTAGATACATACATTGTTAATACTACTGGATAAAACAATATTATTTTTATATCTAGAAGTGTATTAACAGGGAAATTTTTGTAAGTGAATAATTACAAAATAAGTCTATTTCTTGTTAGTAAATTTTGCTTCCTCCCTGTCATTCATAAAGCAAACTGTGATATCGGTAAAGATCGAGAAATAGTTGCATTTAATAAATATTATTGTGTTTTAATAAGAATTCGTTATTCTAATGTACATTCATAATTTTAGCATTTACAGGAATTATACTTAATTTTGACTAAATAGCACATGATATTGACATTTTGTGGTACCATTTTTAGGAATACTAAACGTTGTAACAGCACCTGCATAGTGTACGTCTTATTTTTTTCACCAATGATCTCTACTTAGTGATATTCATGTATTTCTTAAATGTTTCCGATTGACAATATTATACATACCTAAATTTTGTAGAAAATGTCAGTATTACATAAGACTTGCAACAGAAAGTGAAAAATGATAATTAAATGACAATAAATTGTAATGTAATATTAAATTATAATATATAGATATATAATATAATTGAGAAAATAATGAGTAAAAAGAATCTTTATAATTCTGCATTGACATAAAATGTGCAGTCTACAATCACTGGAAGTCAAATGGCAATCATTATCTTAAATATTACACAATTTCAAAAAGTTGCATTATCCCAAGTTACTTATCCTTGAATTTATGATATCTCAATTATCTTTACAAATTGCACAAGTAACCTCTCTCTTATCAATAGTTTTATTTTTAAATTTTCTCGATTGATTATTTATTATTACATACCAAATTTTGTAGAAATATGTGTATTAATAATGCAACAAAGTGAATAACTAACAATTTGTCAAATGTGAATTTTATAAAATTATTTCGATATTTATTTAATGACACGGAATGTGAAAATGTGAAAGCCACGTAAAAGTATGGCCGGTATCAATTTATTTAAATTATAATATATAGATATATAATATAATTGAGAAAATAATGAGTAAAAAGAATCTTTATAATTCTGCATTGACATAAAATGTGCAGTCTACAATCACTGGAAGTCAAATGGCAATCATTATCTTAAATATTACACAATTTCAAAAAGTTGCATTATCCCAAGTTACTTATCCTTGAATTTATGATATCTCAAATTATCTTTACAAATTGCACAAGTAAACCTCTCTCTCTTATCAAAATAGTTTTATTTTTAATCACAAGTTTTTCTGCGACAAATCCTGGAGGATTAATTTGTAAATGGTGATAAATAATTGAGAGCGATATCAAACGAAGATTTTCAGCCGAGTCCGTATCGAAGATACTGAAAATCATATTAAGCTACTTACAATACATTACTTCTTAAAAAAAAAAAAAGAAAATTAGTACAAATGATGATAACTTAAGTGTTGTGAGATTGTGATTTATGAACCGAAATTTTGTTATTAACAGAATATCATGACAAAGAAACGAATTGTTCTTATTTCAATGGACTATTCTTACAAGATCTTTCAGCTGCCTCTCGTTTCTATCGATGACGATGCCTCGCCTCGATGAATTTTTAACCACTCAACAAATTCGTCGAGCATTACTGGCCCTAGAATCATACATTATTAACAGAAGATGTATGCGAGATAATCTCTTACGCTTTTTATAGAGTCAGCATAAACATTTTTCTTGTATACACTTACACGCTCCGTCTAAATCATAATTAGATAAATCATGATTGATTGTACGTGAAAATTCTAATATGTTGCACCATTGATCCTTATTGATCACTTTGTACTTGGATTGATCTAGGAACTGAGCAAACTGTGTGAACAGTGGCCAATGTTTCCCCAAAAGCAGCTGTAGCATTACTTTTGCGGTATCCATGTCCATACTTCGTTGATCTTTGTCCTGCAAAATTAAAGTGAAACAAATCAGGAATGCTGTACAGGAATATCCAAATATATCAACATTACATTTATACACATCTATGATGTGTATCTACGTGTGTTCTGATAACATTGCACATACTCGGGCAAAGTCGTAAGCATATCTATAAATCCCTTTAAACGTGTGTGGATCGTTTAATTGATTCCTTAGGTACTCGAGCTTTTGTTGTACTTTACTAATAGAATCGCACTGAAGTTCCGAAAAACCTTTCAGCCATTCGCTCAAAGTGAAAAAGCCCATTTGACGAGCGTTCATTCTGTATGCGAGAACGAGCATTACTACGTTTTCAGGTTCTACACCGATATCCTCGCAAAATTTCTCCATTCCTTCTGGTCCAAGAGTATCTGGATCGTCTGGAGAGGTATACTCTCTAAACCAAGTAATGCAACGTTTTTGAGAAAACGCCGACGCATTGGATATATCATCAGTTTTTGCATATCTTCTGGCACTATATATGTACAAAAATATCGTTCATATATTGTAAGAAATATTTTACAAGTTTCTTTACACAAGTCACATATATAGTGATAAGAAAGTATTGAAATAATATTCTTATATATTGAAATAATATTCTTAACATTAATAATTTTTTTCAATTTCTTTATAAAAAAATGTGACTATATAAAATGTTATTGACATGTGAAATTATATTGTAGAAGTAACTTTATATCCAAAGAGTAATAATAAGTATATACATGTAAAAAATACAGGTCTTGAACCTACCTAGAGGTATGTCTTAATCGTTTCGAAGGATGCCTAGGTAAACTGTCTTCGTGTGCACCAGACACTGACATATCAATAGGAGTATGATTTGTGCTAGAAGGTCCTCTACGCTTGCTACGTGGCATCCCTTTGTCTGCTGGAATACAAAAGTTTGTAATTTAAATGTGTGATATCCTTTATTAAAATAATACAATATTATTTTAAATATATATTCACATATAAAAACATTTTATATATATATATATATATATATATATTTATATTAAACAGTTGATTTGTTTACATAAGATTATACACACATAAAATCTTATAAACGTACATATATTGTGTTTAAATAATTGATGTAAAAAATTTGCACGAGTCATGTACGAGTTTTATATGAATATTATAATCAATATGGTAATCACTATGATATAAAAGTCATCAGTTTAGATTCCATTTGTCTAAATCTGTCGACAGTTGCCGTAGAAATGACAGTTGGAATTAGAATTTTACAAAATACAATGCATCGTTATACAAGATCGTAATCGAGCGAAAAGTTCCGGGACACTTGCGGACGAGTGTAGAAATTGTAGAAAAATAAACAGACTTGCAGAAGGTGAAAAAAACAAAACGACATGACAGATACTCGAAGAGAGAGAGAAACAAAGCGACATTTGTAACATAATCATTATGTAAACACAATTACACGCGAAGAAGTACAATTATACGCGTATATAATTAGCATAAGTATAATATACATTATACAGCCTCTCATAAATCAATGCAGCATCGCTCGAATTTGCGCGATGAAAAAAAAGGCTCTATTATCGTTTCGTGGAACGATAAATCGCGGAAGTGCGAGAAGAAGCGTGGAATAATGGAAATGCGAGACGTAAAATCAGCGCAGGGATCGCGTCATCGACACAGGATCAGGATGATAGGGGGATCCCGTGAACTGGACGATTTAACTCTTACGTGCGTAATTATCAAGCGAATTAATCAAGCAACTGTATCGAAACAGTCGGGTGCAGCCGCGAGAGCGACGTATGTAACTGGACTTTTCTCTCGTCGGCGTTAAACTGACATCTCTCTCGGCGCCCGAGACCGAGACGGAGAAGAAAGACGAGAGAGAGAAAGAGCGAGCGAGATGGAATAGGGAAGGAAGAGAGAGAGAGAGGGAGAGAGCGAGAAAGACAGCGCGACCGAACGAGTTATCGCAGTTGAATGAGGTTAGGGTCGCCGATTAAATTCGTGTATCACGCAATTGTCGGATCGCTGAATCGGCGATCCCCGAGGCTACCTGGGGAAACGGGAGATTATCTGGCTGACGCGGGGGCGTCGTTTATCTCGAGACACGCGTAGGACGAGGACCCTCGACGTTCCACGAGCAGAACGGCGTGTGAGTCACGTCGTAATATTAGACGCGTTTTTATTCGCGGCGACGATGATAACGATAATCAGGAGAGTGACTCTCTTTACCTTCCTCCCTCCCGGAGATCACAATCACTAGAGAACACTCGGAGACCTCCTCGTAGAAGCGTATTGTTTCGTGTCACTTCGTTAGCGAGAAGTCACAGCTTCGTCGAGATGATAAATTTACGTCCATGGGCCGTTGCGGTGCGTGCGAATGGTATCGATCATAGTGCCATCAACGAACGGATACGCCCGCAATCGATCGGTTTTCGAGTCGAGAGTTGAATTTAATTTCGAATACCGTCCGAAATACCGCACGCTTCGAAGAACGACACCTCTCTCTCGACGAGCCCCGGTCACGCTTTTATTTCATTCTATGTCGTTTTCGTAAACGGCATGCCTTTCCCCCACCTTCCTTCGCACAGCAGGGCTGCCAAGTGCGCGAATGCACTCCTCTCGCTATCGGATTCGATTGCTCAAGAAAGCGTGTGTATCGATTCGCGCGATATCGCTCGATCGCACTTACGCAGCTGTTTAATTTTTCTTATAAATTTTCTCCCACAAAATTATGCCGTTTTAAATAATTTCATCCATAAGATTTCAAAAACCAAGAATCTCATTCATCCCGCGACTTGATTTTATAACATTTAATATAAAAAGAAATATAAAATATTTCTTTTTATATAATATATATAATTATTAAACATTATAAATATATCTATAAATTATAAATTAAGTAGATGTAAGTAAATAAGTATAGATATTATTTCACATGGTTTAATTAAAAAAATATTAATGAGTTTATAACAATGTAAAATAGAAATTGCATGTATTACGTTATTGCTGGTATTACAGCTAAATAAGATGTATGATTTATTTCGCATAATCCGCTTGATTTTATTTCACAAGTTTGTAGCCAGTGCGAGCATCCTTTTCACGATCGATTTGATAATCTGTGAAATCCACATGTACTGGATGCTTTTGATAGTGCTGTTTGAACGCACTGAGTTGTGTGAATCTCTTTGGACAATAATTGCAAGCGTACGGTTTAACACCCATATGTATGCGCATGTGACGAATAAAATGGCTCTGATGGTGAAATCCTTTGTTGCAGACGTTACATACGTACGGACGTTCGTCCGTATGTGTTCTACTATGAATCTTCAAGTCAAATCTCTTGAAGAAAGTCTTGCCACAGGTTTGGCAAACATGATTGCGCTCCTTTAAATGATCCCTCTTCACATGTTCCTAGGTAAGATAAATTATTGCTTTTACGATACATATAAAATAAAGCAGATAATAAGTTATATATATATATATATATATATATATATATATATATATATATATATATATATTGATTGACTTACATTTACTTGTGACAAGGTGCTATAGACTTTTGGGCAAATCTCACAAATGAATTTTTGCGGCCCATCCGAGCTATGATTGTTCAAAATATGCTTGTTCAGAGTAGATTTCCATGCAAATGATATTCCACAATCCTTACAATGAAATTTTTGTTGATCCGTAAAATGTATACCTATGTGCTGGCTATAATTGTAGGCTGTTGAAAATGTTTTGTTGCATACGGAGCAACAAAACCTCTTTGAAGTGATTTTCTTTTTCGGTTTTTCTGACGTCCCGACACAATTCTCATTATTTACACTTTCATTGGTAATTTTGTCTCTATACAACTGTTGTATACCACTGTTTACATACTTTTCATTATCTTCCACAGCTTGAGTGTTAACATTTTCTTCCAATGACAGATTATTTTCGACATATGTGAAAAAGTCTGACTTACTTTTGGAACAATCAGTTATTTTATTACTATCTTGCAAAACGTTTAAACAGTCTTTGTTAAGATTATTAATTTGTATGAAATTTTGATTTTCTTGTTCGATAATTTGGGAATCTTGTAATAGTTCCAATAATTGTTCACCATCATTTTGGACTAAACGTATCGAAGGTTCTTTGTAAAATTCTACACCGATATCGGTAATTCTCGATGCCTCCAATTCTAAAAATTTTTCATAATTTTCATAATTCAATCTTTCCAACGCTTCAAAGTTCGTTTCGACATATTTGTCAAAATCCGTATGCGATTCCAATAATTCCAAATTTTCAAAATTGTAGACTTGTGAATTTTGAAAATGTTCACCATGACATAACACAGAATTTTTTTCCTCCCCATGAGATTCAAGCTGTGCATAATTAAATTCGTTATTTATAGTAAGAGCTTCTAAATTTTGATGTTCCATATGATCGTTCTTCTTATTATTTTCTTTAAAATTTGAGTTTATTTTTTCACAATCTCCAAGAACATTTGCGGCTTCTTCTGTTGCATTCTCCAAATTCTTTCTGCATGAAACATTTTGCACTTTTTCTAAATTATTTATTATATATTCATAAAATTGCTCACCAGTCTCTGTTTGTACTAAACGCAACATTGGCTCTTCATTAGTTAATGCTGCATTATTTGAGTTATTGAGAATATCCTCATTGTGCTGCAACAAATTGTCTTGATCTTCATTAGCAATAGAAGTATATAATGCATCAGTAGCAGCAATGCTTTCAGAATGTTGAGATTTCACTGTATGACTAACATTTACATTAACAAAATCTGTGTTATGGCAATACCGCGATTCATTTGATTTCAACATTTCTAAATCAGAGAAATATAATTGGTTATCATTATTTAATAATTTATTATCTTTTCTATTTTCACTGATTTCTTTGCATATTTGTTTGGACAGAAATTTTTTGTTTGTTAAAATTTCATCAAAATTTTGTGAACAGATTTGCAAATTTGTTTCCTCATTTGATAAATTTTTTACATTGTTTATGGAAGTCTCTTTACATGTTTCTTGGACTGCATATGTCTCTGAATCATTTAATCTCGAAATATCTTCATTGTTATGAATGTTTGATTCAGCATTTGATTCTCCATCTCGAGATAAAAGTGTCGAAAAGTTTTTAGAAAATTGATAAATCAAGTCTTTGGATTGTATCTGTTCATTATATGTTTTATCTAGAGGAAAATTTGAAACAGTAGTTTTATTCATAGATAAATTAATGGATTTAAATCTTTCTTCAATCTCAGTAAAATGGTCCTGCAATAATCGCGATTTATACTTTTATTTTTTGTTAAATTATTTTTTTTCAAACTTTTATATTAGATCTTTATCTATATATTTTACTATAGTTAAATTTAAAACATCAAATACTCACTTGCTTAGATCCAACATGAACTACAGTCTCCAAGGGTAAACATACTTTATCATCCATATCAGTTTGTTTATCAAAAATTATCTTATTTGGTTGTATATCTGAAACTCTAGCAGTATTTTGATCAACACATTTTTGCTCTGTACAAAGTTTTTCGTCATTTTTATTTTTTATGTCATTATTTATTATCTGAAAAATTTAAAATAAAAACATATAAACTTGAAATATTATCTAACAAGTATTATAAATTTATATTAATTGAAAAGTTATAAATTTAATAGTTTTCTTATCAATTATAACATTTTGACAATACAAGGCTTTTGGAATATATCTTTTGAGTTTTGAACAGAAAATACAATTAAATTTCTTTGTCAAGATTTTCCAACAGTATTGATATTTAGCAAATTCAATTATTGCTTTGTTATATTTAAAAATTTCTACTACAGTACTAATAATATAAATAAATTAATAATTTAAATAACATCAATAAAAGTAATGTATTGTTACCTCATTCTTATTCAATGCACAATCCTTGGCTTGTAATTTGTCATTGATAAGACTAGGATTACAATACTGCTGTGTAAAGTCCTTTGGTGTATGTATTTGTTTGTGTTTTGCTAATGAAGAAATTTGCGTGAAACGTTTATCACAAATTGGACATACATATGGCTTAATTCCTGCATGTAACAAATAAAAATACTTGTTTAGTTGTTATATTTTCGTACTTGTGCATTTTTTTTTTAGCAAGTCATAATTTTTTTTATTTTATATATATCCCAATATAAAAAAATTATGTTTTTAGTTAAATCTATAGTTTCCAGCTAAATCTAAAAATCTATCATGTATTAGATTTTCAATACTTTACCTGTGTGTATTCTACAGTGCCTTATAAGATTCGATATATGATTGAATTTTCTTCCACAGACTTCACAGATATAAAAATTCGTACCTAGATGAATATTCAAATGCATACGTAAGTCTGCTTTACGAAAGAAAGCTTTCTCGCATATTTGGCATATGTGAGATTTTTCTCCCAGATGTTTATTCCGATAATGATACTTCAATTGCCTTTGTATACGTGTAGGTTGAAAATGAGAAATATCTTGATCCCCTGGAGAAAAGGCAAGTTCAAAGATTGATTTAAGTAAATCAAAGAAGAAAGAAAGTGATACCAACCCTTGTAAAATCTTTCGCCACAAATGCTTATATATTTTTAACCTCCAAATGTCAACACAAAATAGCCAAAAGACCGAAGATTAGGAAAAATAAGAGATCCGGATTCGTGTGTCGGAAATAAGTATCTCGTGGTCCAAAAAACAACGCCTCTCAAGGTGCCTTTACATGGGAGCGTTTTAGCGTCGAGCGTTAAAGCGTCAAAAAGTGTGACATGCGCAGTGTGCCTAGTGATTTGTTGAAACGCTGGAGCAGTCAGTAAATCATCTAAATTGCGGAATATTATCAAATATTATCATTATTATCAATATTATCAATATTATCATTATTATCAAATATTATCAATAAAATGTCAGTTAATTATCGTTATCATCAATGGTTATTAGAATGTAGCAGCATTATTAATCATGAATATAAGAAACAAAAAAAAGTTACGTGCACACTCCACACGTTATATCCTATACAAAGAATACATTGTAATAAATAATATTCATGTTGTATTTAGAAAACATATATTTATGCCAATTATTCCTTCTGTTTGGTTATGTTGTAATACGCTACTAATCGCGCAATTCTATAATATATATTGTATAATGATATCTATTATATCTATTATATCTATTATATTTATTATATATTATATATATTAATACATTTTCTATTAAGAATATACAATCTACTTACCTCTACCGTATTTATTAAAATTTTGTTACTAGACATTGTTTTAGCGGTTTTAGCGTCAAGATGCTGGAATCTGCCTGTTCAGAATTATGCGCAAGGGTGCTGCGCACGTGTTTTTGACGCTCGACGCTTGACGCTAAACGCTTCCATCTAAATACGTCTTCACGGAAGTACTCGGAGTAGAATCGACCAATCAAAACAAAGGAATCTTTGCTGGTTTTGTCCTGATTGGTCAATTAAATGCTATTTTATCCTATGAGTATGATTTCCCATTAGGCGCATGATTGGTTTATTTCATTACGTTGGCAATATTTGATTTTCATCTCTCCATCGAGATTGGCATCATTTTAATTTTGAAAATAAACAGCGATTTAAAATCCGTTGGTTAAATTAGCAAACGTCCGATTCTGTCTTACGTTCTGTGTGTTATGTAAATTGTATATGTACGTTATGCTATATAATTTATTTTAATTGAATATAAATAATATTAAATGAAAGTAATTATGAAGAATACGTAATTAATTTAAAATAAATTTAATCATCAAAAACCGAGACACTGAAATCTCTCGCACTGTGATCTCTCTGTTTATTATATTATAAAACAGATATTTTTTGTTCTTATCCATTTAGTTTTTTTTGGCAAGAGAGGAATGTAAGTTTCACAAAATAATTCTCATAATATTGATTTAGATACATAATGGGCAATTATATGACCAAGTTGTTTCGCACTAATGAAGGCCAAAAAGAAAGCGATGAGCTACAAACAGTTAAGCAGCAAGTAGCTGCAGATGATAATATGTGTACACCAACATTAAAAAAGGTGCTATGTGATCCACGTTCAGTTTCAACAGGAATCTTAAGAACTCCTATTGAAGTAAAATCCTAATAATTTCCTTATTTATTATTTTTATATAATTTTTAATATTTATATAATTTTATGTTGTGTTATATTTATACTTTTATCAAAAGAAAGCATATGAATAATATATCTTATGCAGCAGTTAGCTACACAAGACGATAGTATGTGCACACCGACATTACCTGATAAAAGGATACTTTGCGATCCACGTTCAATTTCAGCAGGAATTGCAAGAACCCCTATTGAGGTAAAATAACAATTTAATTATATATATGGAGAGAAAATTTATATGCATTATATATTTAATTTCATGCTCTAAATATATATATATTTATATAACAGACAATTATACAAGATAATAGTATGTGCACATCAACATTACCTGAAAAAAGAGTATTGTGTGATCCACGTTCAATTTCAGTAGGAGTCTCAAGAACTCCAATTGAGGTAAATTATTAGCAATAATAGGATAAGGGAGAAAAACTTTTATTACATTATATCTTTACAGTTATAATGTTCTAATGAAAAAAAACATTTAATATATTTCAATATTTAAATAGGTGAACTATACTCCAATTCCAATGACCAAAAGAGCACCTAGTGCAATTCCAGAGTATTTACAGAAAAAAAAATATCTCGAAACCAATATGGATATAGTAATGCCACCTCTAACACCAAAAAAATGTTTTATAAAATTAACAGATGGTGATCAGGGATCAGAATCAGTATGTGTTATCTAATATTTACAGTGCATTATATCTTTTTTTTCTCATATATTGAATGAATGAAACTTGCATAATTAGATTTCTCAAATTTTCAATATTTGTATATCCAATAGTACTATTAATTAACAACTTAATTTTTTAATATGCAAACATTTTATGCACATTCATTATATGTATATAAATTATTAGTTTTACAAACAAACTTAATCCAACTTCTCAGGATAAAAATTATTCATATTCATAATGTATATCTATTATATATAGGATGGAACACAAGATTATTTAACACCAAATATTAATGCTGAAAAGGATCCAAAACATGTTACACCAATTGATAATGACCGTTATGAAATTTTGGGATTAGATCCTAGATCTCCAGCTGCAGACTTCGATAGAACGCCTCTTTTAAAACCGAAATCCCTTGCGTTAATAAAAGTGCGATCGCAAGAAACTTTACATCGCAGAGGCAGTTATGAATCAGATATTTATAAACCAACAAAGTCACATCAAGAAATTAATACATCACTTAATATTCCAAAAATACAATTGTTATCCAATGTAATTTCGGGAACCTCGAAAACATTAGATATGGAGGAACAGGATGAATCACATATATTCTGCACACCCCAACAATCTGATTCTGATTCAAGTGTTTTTGAAAATGAGGAGGAAGTTACAGTTATTAAGAATTTAAAATGCAAAAATGAAGAGGAAAAATCATCAATATCATTAGTTGAACAGATAACTGCGACTGATAAAAACAAAGATGATACAAATATAAAGAATGATTGCGAAGATATTGAACATGATATGGAAACAATACATATAAAGGATGATGAAAGTGAAGTATGGCATGATTCAGTATCATCAGAAGAAGATATTGCAGGTAAGAAAGAGAAGGAAAATATTATACAAAAGTTACCACAAAAAAAAGCTAGAGAAGATATAATTATAATGTTTGATGAATGTGCTACAATTAGTACTTTACCAAAACCAATAAAGATAGAAGGAGATTGTCAGAAGAAGGGAGATATTGCAAGAAGAAAGAAGAATGCCAAGATAGGTGATACAGTTACATCAAATGAAAAAAAGACTCTTAACCTTGAAAATAAAATGGTAATTTATGATGTCATGAAATCATATACATATGTGTAAAGTTATGTTCACAAATATTAATAAGCAGTTTTCTTTTTTTTTTAGAATCGAACACCTTTTGGCAATCGATCTAATAATGATCAAGTACAAAGAATAAACTCACCACAATATTTATTAAGAAATAAGACCGCATCTACTAAAATACAACAAGAGAATACACCACCATGCAAGATGTACAATGCAAAAACTAAAAATCATCATTGGGATCCAAATACTACAGTTTTTATTTAAGTGAAAGAGAAAGAGGGACAAAATGATTTAGTCTCTCTTTTTATCTCAACACTAATTTATTAAAAAAAAAATAATAATAAAATAGAGAACGAAAACAGTAATTAAATATATTTTAAATGTTATCGCAATTGCAATTTTAAAAATAAGTTTATATTAATTTTGAAATAAACACAATTGTAAAATATAAAAATCTATCAAATTTATATTTATTAATAATTCAATTTTTAAACATATTTAAGTGTCATGTTTCTGCATTGCTGCGCGAATTTGAGACTTCGCTGCTTGAATCGAGTGTTGAAGATCTTTGCTGGATTGTATTAGATGCGTTACACTGAAAATACATGCAAAAATGAGATTAACATAAATATAAAATTTAAGATAATATACATGTGGAATAAAAAAAATTTATAATATACAAAACATATAGGATATCTCAAGAAAATACTATGTTGTTTTACAGTATGAAAATCATTAAAGTCATGAAAATCAGTTAAAGTCAGTTACCAATTTGTACTTATATTTTAAAGTGGAAATTTGAGATATTCTATAAGCACAACTATATTATGGATATATATACATACTTTGGATCTTTTATAACTATCTTCTTCTTTACAGTATCAGATTTTTCTAATAACTTCACTGTAATTCTGTTCTCTATTTTCTTTACGTTATAAAACATATTCGTTTTTTCAACAGAATTTGATTTCGCTATATTTCTGGTATCTATCAACCGTGGGCGAACAATTTTAACTTTTACATCATTGTTGATATATTGGCCTTTGTAATTCTTTCTCTTTTGCATGTTTAATTTTGAATTTTTGTTTGATTGCTGAATGCCTGTCTGTATCACTGCTTCAGTCGGTTGATACGGTGCCGATAATGATTCTGAACCAGATGCGATACTACTGTTGGAATTCCAGTTTATCGGTAAGCGAGGTTCAGACACAAGTCGTGGATCTATGTTCTGAGGTATTCCATTGCAAATAGATGACAATGTTTCTCCTGGGTAGCAATGTTTAAGTCGTTCTTCAGTAAGGGGTAAAGCAGGATTTTTCTTTTTTCTATGATACTGTTCTCTATAATTACATATTTAATATTAATTTGAAACTATGTTGTAGCATATTCATATAATTTCTAAAATAATGTACTTATATATCACATTACAAGGTTACACAATATTTATTGTATATTATTATATATTTTTACTATATGCACAAAATGTCATATTATTAATAAAACATACTTTGGAATAAATTTCGTCGGATTCGTTAAGTCCTGTTGATTTCTTTTTATATGTATTGCTACATCTTTTCGGCGTTGTATAAGTTTTGCTTTTGTTTCTGCAAGAGTTTCTAATTCAGGGACATAAAAAACATGCAGAACCCCACCAAAAAAATTTTTATTATCAAGCAGTCGTTTTGCTACCCTATGCAGAGAATCATTCAGTTAAAAATTAATAATTTGCTAAATATTGTTTCCTTGATAAGAAAATATATACCTTGCACTTTGAATATATGTGTAATGTACGTGATATGTATCTGTAAATTCCTCTGAAGGATATTCAGTCACCAATTGAATTGCCTTTACATCTCCATAAGAATAAACAAGTTTTCCCACTTCTTCTCCCAATTGCACTTTTGGTACTCCACATATTAGTAAATGCTGTGATTCATCGTTAATTGTATAAACCTATTACACAGAGCTACTATGTCAAGGAAATGTTGTAGATGATATATATAATTGTTTATTAATATAATTCTTAAAAAAATTTTCATTTGTATATAATTTAAAGTATTCAAAGTTATTATTTTATATATATATTTTTTTACTTTTATGGAAATGCACTACATTTTTTTTATTAATGCAATATATATATATATATATATATATATATATATATATATATAATATGTGTGTGTGTGTGTTTATTTATTTATTTTTTGTATACATTTTATTGTTATTAATATCAATTGATAGAAAATATATGACAATTATACTTTTCCACTAATTTATATATTAACTCTAAACATGTTACATCGTTTATATATATATATATATATATATATATATATATATATATATTGCATTAATAAAAAAAATATAGTGCATTTTCATAAAAGTAAAGCTGAAAAATTTAATTAAAATTCAGTAATTATTATTATAATTGTACATGCATATGCAAATACAATTATTAATATAGATAAATTTGATATTTTCTTATAATCTCATAATATAATATATAAGATTATTCCTAACACGATGAATAGAATAGAAATTTGATTTTAGAGTAGGATACAAGTCCCCAATGCTACCTTGACTGCTGTCAATTTTTTTCCTTGTCTGTAAGGCGGTCGAGTTTGACACAATTTTTGCTGCACATGGTGTGGCATGTGTGTTATCGCAATTCCTTTCTCTTCTTCTGCCATAACGTGAAACACTGTGTATATCCTTTCAACTTTTCTCGTTATGAAAATGATGAGTCTATAAAAATAATAAAAGTAACATTAAATATTAATACATTAAATTATAGCGAATATAACGATATAATCGACAAGAATTATATTTATTTTTGCAAAACTTAATACCCTCGATGTTAGAAATTTACTTTTCACAAGATATGTGTATTCTTCTTCTTCTTCTTCTTCTTCTTCTTCTTCTTTAGAGAATTTAATGGCCACTTCTGATCTAGGAGCGATCAGTATATTCAGGCCAACAACTGGTTTGAGCGAGAGAATAATGTAGTGTGTTAAAAGGTATTGTGTCAGGAGGTTGCTTCGTTCAGAGCTGGAGATTACAGGATTTTATGAAGGAAAGTAATACATGAATAACCCCGGAGAAAGAATTGGCCAAAATATCTTGGATCTTGTAGGGTCGTGTTATCCCCTTGAATTTTGATAGCTGTTTTAAGAGAGTTAACAAGATATGTGTATTCAAAGTGAGAACTTAAATCGTAGATTTTCGGAGTACGAAAAATTTTCAAAAGCGTAGTATTATTTTATTTTTCCAAGCAAAAATACGATTGTACGAAATACAAAAAAAACATCGCGTTGAATTATAATCGTCCACGGATTTACAGCCGCCGGGACAACGGCGTTTGGAATATTAGGTTAGGTATAGTTTCATTTCTCCACTTCAACACGACGAATTACACAACTTTCGATTCTTCCTTTATAAATAGAATCAAAATCACATCTGAGTGTCAACGAGAAAGTATCATGCTTCGCGTGCTCTAGTGGTTATTTAGCGCATTAAATTTACAACATCTACGCGCGCCAACAAAAGAATTCATTTCACAGAGCTTCCGGTTCCAGTCGGAAATAAAGGTGCAATTTCATTGACGCTAGAAACCAGCGGCAAATTAAAATCACTAGACTTTCTCTAGATATGGCGTCAATAAAATAAAGTTCAAACAGTTTCAACTTTTTCAGTGTGTAAAGCGGCCTTTTCATTGACGCTACTTTTTAGAAATTGCACCTTAACAGTTGGCAGCCCTACGAGATAGGCTGTGCACTGCGCGTATATAAAATAAATTTGAAATCGCTTCTAGTCTAACCATCTTCACGCGATCGACTTTATTTGAATTGCACGGCATCGCATCGAATTATGATGCGGCGCCGATTTGTTCGAACGTAATTCGGGACATCGCGATGCTGTATAAGCGTCGAATGAGCACGAATTGTCACGCAAATATGATAAATCAAATCTACTCACCGGCTGTTCCACAGACCGCTCCTCCTCAGGACAGTTCGCTCGCCTCGGGACGTCCCATTCCGATCTTGATGCACACAAACTCACACGATATCATCAACGCGAACGCGCGACACTTTATTCGGCACTCCCGATATTCGCTCGCATCCGATAATCATCATCAACGGTGCGAATAATGCGACGCAACTTCGCTCCATCTTCGCGATCGCGCTATCACTGAACTGTGAAAAATAGCTGTCGCGCACTTTCACCGACATATTATGAAAGTCGCGCGATCATCCTTGGACACTCTCGACGCTCGTTCACTCGCGATATTCGTTTAAAAACGGTTAAAAGATGCGAAAAATGCGGACGTACGACGATCCGTGTAACTGCGTATGACTCCGATTCACGTATGACGCATATGACGTAGCAGTGACGTAGCAGTCACGCGCCAACATGGCGGCCGAACCAGTGCGCATTCTTTTTCTGCGCACTGGTTCGGCCGCCATGTTGGCGCGTGACTGCTACGTCACTGCTACGTCATACGCGTCATACGTGAATCGGAGTCATACGCAGTTACACGGATCGTCGTACGTCCGCATTTTTCGCGTCTTTTAACCGTTTTTAAACGAATATCGCGAGTGAAAGAGCGTCGAAAGTGTCCAAGGATGATCGCGCGACTTTCATAATATGTCGGTGAAAGTGCGCGACAGCTATTTTTCACAGTTCAGTGATAGCGCGATCGCGAAGATGGAGCGAAGTTGCGTCGCATTATTCGCACCCTTGATGATGATTATCGGATGCGAGCGAGTATCGGGAGTGCCGAATAAAGTATCGCGCGTTCGCGTTGATGATATCGTGTGCATCAAGATTGGAATGGGACGTCCCGAGGCGAGCGAGTGGAGCGGCCTGTGGAACAGCCGGTAAACGGTAAGTAGATGTGATTTATCATATTTGCGTGACAATTCGTGCTCATTCGACGCTTATACAGCATCGCGATGTCCCGAATTACGTTCGAACAAATCGGCGCCGCATCATAATTCGATGCGATGCCGTGCAATTCAAATAAAGTCGATCGCGTGAAGATGGTTAGACTAGAAGCGATTTCAAATTTATTTTATATACGCGCAGTGCACAGCCTATCTCGTAGGGCTGCCAACTGTTAAGGTGCAATTTCTAAAAAGTAGCGTCAATGAAAAGGCCGCTTTACACACTGAAAAAGTTGAAACTGTTTGAACTTTATTTTATTGACGCCATATCTAGAGAAAGTCTAGTGATTTTAATTTGCCGCTGGTTTCTAGCGTCAATGAAATTGCACTTTAAAAGCATTCCCGACAATGCGACGCGTTGTACGGGAGTGTTCCGTTTGACCACGTCGCGATTGACCACAGCCAATCATATTGACCCGTGCCTAGGGTAACCAGCACCTATTGACCAATCAGAGAGTTCTATTTTGAATTGGCCAATTGGCGATGTGGTCAATCGGATGCCACCCGACGCGTACAGCTGATTCGCTAAACGAGCGCCAACTAGAATCTTTCTATAGGAACCCTAGCGGTAACTTTTCCCGGGGCGAGTCTCGCATCTTGGTCACGCCGGCGGAAGTGGCGGCCAAAGTGACGGATGTCGTCGCCCAGAGAGAGAGGAAGAGAGAGCAAGAGAGTAATGGCGTTCGCGGCGGGCACACATTCTCGCGGTTCGTCTGTTACACGCTGTTAGCTGGCTACCGAGAGAAACCAGCTTGGCTCCGGCTCTTGGCTCCGCTGAATCGTCCCGCTTCACCGAGAGCCCTCCCTCTCTCCGCGGATCCGGGGTCGAGCACGCATAACGGTTCGCGAGCGACGCCCGAGAAGCCGTCTCGGAGGCGGAAGGTTTCGCGGAAGCGGCGAACTGGTGGTTGTGTACGTTCTCGTTCCGCGTCGCGTCAACAGGAGGAACTTCTCGTCCCGGTTACAGCGACTCATCCCGATTACATAGAGTCTCGATGAGGAACTGAGAGTCTTCGGAATTTCACGTTGTCTCGCGTGCATCTTCGTCATTTGTATACTTTCATCGGTCCAACGTGTTTTGTGGAGCAGTGACGTGTACGTACTTTCATCTACTATTACACGATTTTCAATATGTCAATTGATTATTCGATTAATAATTTTTTTCATTAGAAAAAAATATACCGAGATAAATTTCCTTATAAAAAAATATATATTTTTCTCCATAATTGAATCATGATTCGTTCGCGAAGAATGGTGGCAAATTAACATAGGGTTTTTTCTTTATAAATTATATGCTAAAAATAATTGGTAATTAAAACAAATCAAAGCAAATTTAATGTGACTGAAAGATCATGTTGGAGCAACTTTAGGCAATCGAAAAAGATCAAATTATTAATAAAATATATAATCTATGATTATATCAGCTTTGATTAGTGTTGCTTTATTGGTTAATTTGATTTTTATGCAAATATCTAAATGATACAGTAATTTAATATATAATTAAATATAAACACACTAAACAATTTATTGTGCCTTTCATAAACACATTATTGGAATCTTTATTACAATAAAAAAGACTAATGAGATATTTTATAATATATATTTATAATAATAAAAAGAAATATTTTTTTTTGTTTTTACAGGCTGTATTGCAAGGATGGATTTACTTACTTTAATGTCGTAATGTTATTACAGGCATAAAACATGCCTGATCCTTGTTGTTTATACAAGTTGGACGAAGTTTAATTGAAATTATTCTGTACCTGCGTAAGTACATCTTCTCATCATGGCTGCAAATGCTCAATTTGCAAATCCGCCACCTGCTGTAAGCTTACCTAATATGTCTGTGCCACCGCCTACAACTCCAAACTTATCGGCACCACCGCCGAACTTAACTACAATAAATACGTCTGGTAGCTATCAGCACCGTTATCCGAATCACAGAGAAGGCAGTCGAGGTTTCTTCAAACCATTCAGACCTTATCATGCCCCAAAAGTCATTGCTGGGGGACAAGATACTCTGCAGGATGAGTTTGATGGAAAAAGACTCAGGAAATCTGTTATGCGAAAGACTGTCGATTACAACTCTTCCATCATCAAAACCTTAGAAGTAAATACATGCATATATTTTGCGGTGTAAATTTGTCAAAATGATTTTCTCGAATTTGTATCTAAATTCTTGAATGTTTACAGCATCGCGTATGGCAGCGAGATTATAGGGATCGTCGTGCACTGCAGCCAGATGTAATATACTATCCTGATTTACTCCCTCCACCAAGTTATATGGACAACCCAATAAACGCAGTTACCACGAGGTTCGTAAAAACGGCTACCAATAAAATGCGTTGTCCAATTTTTTGTATGGCCTGGACACCAGAGGGTAGACGTCTTGTCACTGGTGCTTCGAGTGGAGAATTCACATTGTGGAACGGCCTTACTTTCAATTTTGAAACTATTCTACAGGTATATTATATATGTGTATTAGAAAGAAAGAAAGAGAGAGAAATACCACTATATTTTGAATTGCTAGAGTTATTAGCAAATTAAATATATTTAAAATATAAATTATATATGTGTATATATATTTTTGTATGTTAAAACATTTCGCGAGAGTTGAATTTTAAGTCCTCTGTCTTTAAATATTTTGTAAGATATAGAAAATTTTAATTTTATTGAAAAGATAAATTGAAAATAATTGTGAGATTATCTTTCTGAAATAAATTGAATATAATTCTTTATTCAATGTTGCTAAATAATCATATTCTGTAGATATTTATATCCAAATATATACTTTTAGAAAACAATTTTTATCGTCATTTGCGCTTTGACGGGAGAAATTAATTTCTCTGTTTAGGCACACGACAGCCCTGTTAGGACAATGGTATGGTCGCACAATGAGAGCTGGATGGTAACGGGGGACCATGCAGGCTACGTGAAATATTGGCAGAGCAACATGAACAACGTCAAGATGTTTCAAGCACACAAAGAAGCGATTAGAGGACTCAGGTATACCATCCACCACACTAGTCCTTACGTCTCTCGCGCCACTGTTGCCGATGATCCGTCCATCCTTGCTGTAGTTAGGACATTGGACGTGACTCTTATTCTCTTATTCCTTTTCTGGTTTTGTGCCATTTCTGGCAGAGTAATAGTGATTCTTGTATGGGTACACAGGTGATTTTTAACAGCCTTTAGAATTGGATAGTTACATGAAATATAGCATTCGCGCATCATGAATCATGTGGAATAAACCATATTCATGAAAAATACTAATTGAAACGTTTTGATTAGATTTTACATAAAAAAAGTTTCGATATCTTTTGCCGAATTAAGAGCTTTTCAAAATGGAAAAATAAAAATCTAAAGAGTCAAACTCCAATCTTTTCTTTTTTTTTAAATAATTCTCGTAATAAAAAATATTTCTATTATGCTGTAATCATATCTTTTAAACGCAACGGTTTAAGATTAAATTTTCAATGATTTTGCTGAATTTAATAAGTAAATATTCCTATCGTGATGTAGAAGTTGATAACACAAGAGGATAGTGTAAATTTTTTTGCGTACATTACATTACGCGTATCGATATATAATTTATGATTTGTATTTATAGAGTCTTAGGGACCTAACTTTCGATTTATTATTCTATTCATATAGTATTAGTAATGCGCTTATCGCATATTGAAAAGTGGCACGCACAAATTTTAATTAAGTTATCATATAATGCTATTAGGTCCTTACGGCTCTCGTTTTAAGGAGTTTATGTGGCTAGATTATTCATTCGGCAAAGATGTATGCTTTAGAATAACAAATAAAAAAGAAATATATATATATATATATATATGGCAACCTAGTCGAGATTCCTATATAATGATAAATAAAAGATGAAATATCCTGTGTCTCCTTCTTTATATCGTTTAAGTTTTTCAATAAAGTTAAATAAAGACGTCACATTATTATATTGCATGGCTATGAAAATAAAATATTTTATCTTTCGTTTTGTGTCACTTGTGCCCTTTCGCAGACGAAAGAGAGAGAGAGAACGAGAGCGAGAGAGGGAGAGAGAGAGCGTAACAGAGACAAATGATAAGATGATATATAATTCATGTACACTTCGGCCATTTTTTTTGTGCAATAAACGTTAAATTTTGAAAAAAAATATCGCTCTTAATACATCACTCGGTGGTCATGTGGCATCAAAAGATAATATTCAGTTTCACCAAGATGAAACTATGTTCGCACGCATTGCCCGATACACAAAACAATGGGATCTTATTTGAGTGCCAGATATGACTGTCGCGGATGTTTTTTTGTTTATTTAAAAAAAATACATATTTATACATATAAAGAAGATATTCCTTTTATTATACTGATCTCTGTCTATTCCTCGATGGCGCATTTGTAAGATTCAGCTATGTGTTTTCTATTTACATACGTTCGAAGTTATTTCAGACCAATATACAGATCACTTACATATGTGTACTGCTCTTGTGTGTACACACTTGCTCGCATTTCTTTTTTCTGCTTCTTCACGCGTACAATGCTTTCGATACATATCAGCAAACAACAAGTAGGAAGAATCATCAAATGGCAGCTGTGACCCAAAAATAATAGCTTGATATTTATTTAATATTATCTAATATAGAGATAATATTATTTATATAAATATTTTCTCCTTCCCAAATATCATTAAAATACAGTTAATTTACATCACGTAATGCATTAATCTGCATTTATGTAATGCAGAATGTCATTAAAATCTCGCAAATTATCTATAATAAATAATATATTTTCAAGATATATTAATTATATAAATTTTAAAAATATAAAACGGAGCAATATATATATATATAATAGAATATATTTCTGTTTATTGATATTTTCAGGAAAAGAAATGTAATTTAAATAATTTTTCGAGAAAAAATTTCCGAAAAATAGTTTGATAACACTTTCTATTTTGCTTTTTTTCCATATATATATATATGTATATAAAATTTACACAAACATACATATATCGACGTTGCATGCGGTAATAATTATAATACATATATTGATGAATCGGTAATAAATATTCAGTTGTATGTTTGATTTTTAGCAGTCAATTTACTAGAGGCACTTTAGTAAGTTATGTCGTAACAGTGTCCGTAAGATGTATCATGTGTGTATGTGTGTGTTTTTTTCTCTTTATACATGATAATCGCTTTATCTTTTTTATTAAATTTAAAAAAAAATTTTTTTATTAAATTTTTTTTATCATATCAGAGTTATTTCAATTCTGTAAAATAAGAATTTTACAATAAAAATTCATAAATAATTAAATTCTATTATTTTAGCTATTTTTAAATATTAAATTACTATCTTATTATGTATGTAAGATAAAATTGATAATTCTTTTTTTCCTTGTATTATTTAATCAATTGCCTGAGTTTATTCATAACTCTTCACGTCATGAATATATTGACAAATATAAAAAGATGAACACATTATTTTTTTTTGTATTATATACGATGCATTGTTCCAATGTAACTTGTTTCTTTTTTTTTGGGCGGGTAGTTTCAGTCCAACGGATCACAAACTGGCGACCTGCAGCGATGACGGAACTGTCAGAGTTTGGGATTTTCTTCGCTGTCATGAGGAACGGATTCTCAGAGGTATATAAATTTCTCGTAGTTTATCTATTAATGTTAGAATGTATTATTTTTTTCATTTACTCAATTGCTTAAATATTTTTATTTTAATGTACATTTATTATTTTATTAATTTAATTTTATTAATTTTTTTTAGTAATTTATTATTTTTATTAATGTATATTTATTATCTTTTTAGTTTATCATTGCTATTTTTTACATGTATCAGTCTTTTTACATTTCAAAGAACTTTTATTTAAAAAAAAAAATGATAAAAGATTGTACTTAAAATCATAATATTATTTTTCTTTTTATTGATCTTTATATCGATTTATTCTTAAGAAATAAAAAATCCATTCAATATATTCCATATAATGTTTTTCTCCATAGGTCATGGTGCGGATGTTAAATGCGTCCACTGGCATCCGCAAAAGAGTCTAGTCATTTCTGGTAGTAAAGATAATCAGCAACCGGTAAAACTGTGGGATCCGAAGACAGGACAATCTCTGGCGACTCTACATGCACACAAGTCGACTGTAATGGACGTAAAGTGGAACGAAAATGGTAACTGGTTGGTCACCGCGTCCAGAGACCATCTTTTAAAATTGTTTGATTTGAGAAATCTTAACCAAGAGGTTCAGACGTTCCGTGGCCATAAGAAGGAAGCATCTAGCGTGGCTTGGCATCCAAGCCACGAGGGTCTCTTTTGTAGTGGTGGTAGTGATGGTGCTATACTCTTCTGGCACGTGGGGTACGCATCTTATGCTTCTGCTAGGGTGTCAATTATCACTCGATTGCTCGAAGCTAAATTTGCATAATTTTTATCTTTTTTTCAGAGCGGATAAAGAAGTAGGAGCGATAGAACAAGCGCATGATAGCATAGTATGGACCTTGGCTTGGCATCCGCTGGGACATATCCTGTGTTCCGGTAGTAATGATCACACATCCAAGTTCTGGACGCGCAACAGACCGGGAGACCTGATGAGAGACAAATATAATCTCAATACGTTACCGGCAGGATCCGCTGGCATTGACGATCACGAAATCGGTATTGAAAATGTTTTATTAAAAGATATTTCAAATATATATTATATAAAGTTTACGAAAATATTTTAATCTTTTTCGCCCATCTTTTTAGCCGATGAAGCGGCAGTGATACCTGGTATGGGACCGGAAGACAGAATCAACGCGGACAGTGAATCCGAGGACAAGAGCGGCGGAATTCCGGGTCTAGATTTGGATCATGCCGTGGATGAGGGCAAGAAGTTTGCCAACAAAAAAGTTCCATATAGCAAACCAATACCGCGGAACTTTCAAGCTCAGTGGAATGAAATGGAGGCTGAGGATATGGAGCAGGTCGAAGCGCTTAACGCGTTTGTTAATCAATTAATAGAAACTACACCAGGTGCTGTGCCATTGAATGAAGTCACGCCCAATGCCATTATACTCTATGGAAAAATGATTCCTGTGGAAGGTGAGTATTACATAGCATGTGTATTTCTAGAAAAATACATGTGAAGAAGCACAATTTGACGCATTGCGGGTGAAATGAAAAGATGCGCTATTGATTTACTAATTTACAATCGTATTTTTTAGCCGATTCAAAACTGGCGGAGGCGATTAGTAAAGGAACCGAAGCCATAAACAAATTAGTATTTTCCGGTGAGATAGAGGAATTACGAGACGTGGTGGGTCCACCGGATAACGTGGACGAGTCCGAAGAGTACCTGCAAGACGATGGCGAGATCGATTATTCCAAAGTACCAGACATAGATTTACCTCCACCTTTACCGAGCTCAAAGTTCGCGCAGAATCCCGAACTGTTGAAGACGCTGAATCGCGGTGGCAAACGTAAGTTCGATCAGTTGATCGGTTGGAGCGACGGCGGAGCTAGTGATCGTACGTCCAAGATCCATCAACCTGTCTTCGGCGGTATTCCGATTACGGAGGATTCGCAATCCAGCGATACGGATTTAAGATTCGGCAAATCCAACTCCGCAGAGACCAACTCCTTCCAGGATGAAGATCACAGGAGAAGCGGTCCGCATGGAGATTCGAGGAGTAGCAGTCGCGGCGACGAGGATCTGAGATTCGGCAGACCTAGTTCGCGTAACGAGTACGAATTGTCGCGCGGCAACAGTTTCGCGGATAAGGATTTCCGCAACATGGGTTTCCCGCCTAAGAAGCTGCTGGATATGGACGATATGTACGACGAGCGGGATCGTGACGGCGGACGTTGGAACGATGACGAGAAAAACATTGGTGATGGCTCACGCAAACCGGATAACACTTACGGCGGTTTCGGCGACAAACGCGATAACGGCATGGCGACGTTAGGCCCGGGTAGCATCGGCAACAACATTCATGGCCACATGGCTGGTATGCCACATCTGCAGGCGAATCATCACAACATGCAGAATATCAATCCCAACATGCCCCCGCCGATGCCGAATTTGGTACCGCATCCTGGAATGGCGCAGCATCCTGGGATGCAAGGTAAACCGCCGCATCCCGGTTTAGATGGTCCGATACCGCCGCATATGATGCCTCATCATCCAAGCATGCACCATCCGGGCTTCGGTCCCAACGGACCGCCACCGCCCGGCGGCTTTGGGCCCAACTTCCGACCGCCGCCAAACGGTAATTTTGGACCGAATCACTTCAGGCCGAGTCCGATGCCACCATTCGGCCCGAATCATCAAGGTCCACCGCCACCATTCGGCAACAATTTTCAGGGACCGCCTAACGCCTTCCGTGGACCTAACGCTGGTCCGATGAACTTTGATCGGCCGAGCTTCGGACCCAACTTTCGTGGCCAGAATCCGCAGGCTCAGTTGAACAATTTCAACTCGAATTTTGGCAACTTCGGCAAGAACGGGCCTAATCGCGGCATGAATCGCGGTGGGGATAACATGGGTAGGAACAACTATAGTAATCGCGGTAGAGGACGCGACAATGATCAATCGAGAGCAGGAAGAGGAAGAGACAATTATTAAAAAGTTCGAAACAATTATATGGGTGGCACATAAGTGATATATTAAATGAACTGCATTCATCATAACTAGACGTCAATGGTGATTTATTAGTCAGTATATAAAATACATGTCGTGTTGACAGCCGGCGTCTGAGCAACAACATGCGAATTCTTGTATTCGTGTGTGTGAATAAAACATTTTGAGTGTGTATATATATACATATACACATATATACATATATACATACATACATACATACATATATATATATATATATATATATATATATATATATGCATATATACATAACAAATGGATTATATATACATGTATATTTTTACGATTCGCCCAAAAAGAACGTGATGACGATCGGATGACCTATGCTGGGCCGATTTCATTCAATACGATTTATTGAAATGAATCTTCTTTCCCCTGGGAAAGAACTAAACGAATCGTCAGTTTCGACTTTAATTATTTCGGATTCAGTCGATCCGGATTGACTGTGCGGTGTGAATCTGCCATGCATGAACAGCCTTCTTCGAAATAGGCGAACAATTGTAATATAATATGCATTAAAGAGAGAAAGAGAGGGATCGAACGGAACACACGAATAGATTATTCCGATAGAAACTGTTCACAAGCTGCCTTGCGAAGGGAATTTCTGTTCCGCGTTTGTAGAGTTCGACAAATGCATGCCGATTGCGTGATCCCGATAAAAGTACGAATGAGTACGATTGAGATTCCGTGTCCTTTTGTTTGTCCGAGGAATGTGTGTGAGCGAGAGAATGCCAGAACAATCTATCTATTATTAATAAAACGAAATGACATACAACATTCTTTGTTTCTATAAATCTTTTTCGCATATGTATCGATTTTCTCTGATCTTGTATGATACGAAATTATAATAATTTAGCGAATCATGATGAATTTCAAGGAAAGAAAATAATTTACACATGCTAATGATTAGAATCGCGACGATAAATTTTTATTAGATATAAACCTCAGAATCATATTTGCGTGTCATTAGCTTCTCGCGATCTGTATTTTCAATCAAATTCCATTAATTCTAAATTGTGTAATCGTGCTAAACAAATGGTGAATTGTAACATCATTGTTTCAAGGGATATACATCTATCTTGCGTTAATTATTAATTGTCAATAAATTGCTTTTTTTACTGATAACTCGTGTTCGAACGAATATAAGAGAGAGAACGAGATATTGATTTTTTCTCATTATTCTGGAATCAAAATTTCCCGCCTTTTCACTTGTTTGCATTTAAAAGTTTATTCATTGCAGCTGCACATTTTTCTCTCTCCAGCATTTGAATATACATGCTGATATCATTTTTATTCTTATAGAAAGAATAACGTAATGTATCTATATCAGAGAAGGACAAATTTTATATCTATTCTTATTTCGCTTGTATTTTCAGATTTTTTTTCTTTCTCTCGAACGCATCTATTTCATTTCAAATGCAGAAAATTCATGAAAATATAAGTAAAATGAATAGATAAATGTATTGCTTACAATCTTCAGAAATAAATAAAACAAATATGTACATCCTTTTTGGAGAAAGAGAAATAAAGAAAGAGAAAGAGAGAGAAAGCAAAGAATCTGAATGCTAAAAGTGCAAATAACACGAACAGATCCATTGCTGTCCGGTTGAGGTTATGTTTTTTAAAACAAACCAATTGTGCATCAGCTGTTATACAATAAACATCATTAGCTGAAAATCATGGGTAAAAAGGGTAAAGGAGGAGGTAATAATTTAGGGAAATCCTTGATTAGAGATCGATTTGGACCTACAAGAGCCAAGAGAAACAATGAATCGTCTATGGTAAGATGAGTGATTTTACTTAACCTTTTCATCCTCGAGTATGTCACGTGCGTTTTCATTCGCAATTATAATAACATTAAAACTAATGTCTGAAAGAAGTTTCATGCAATATGATGCAATCTAGCGTTGCTATGATTAATTTGTCTCCGACTGATAATTACTATTTATAATTGTTTTTCGTAGCTCCATACCTCGGAGATCAATGACGGTTATGATTGGGGTCGACTCAACTTGCAGTCGGTTACGGAGGAGAACTCGTTCCAAGATTTCTTGTCAACTGCCGAGCTGGCGGGAACCGAATTTAACGCGGAGAAATTAAATGTTAAATTCGTGAATCCTCACAATCATGGCTTGCTCTCGAAAGACGTAATAAAAACAGTACTAAAAAAGCAGGAAGAAAATAAAGATTCCGTCAAGATACCAAGGAGACCGAAATGGGACAGTTCTATCAACGCCCACGAGTTACAGACACGCGAAAAAGAAGCGTTCCTGGAGTGGCGACGTCACTTGGCCGCGTTGCAAGAAGTGGAGGGTTTGATGTTGACGCCTTACGAGAAGAATTTAGAGTTCTGGCGACAATTGTGGCGTGTCGTAGAGCGCAGCGACGTGGTGATACAAATTGTAGACGCGCGCAATCCACTTCTCTTCCGTTGCGAGGACTTGGAGCGTTATGTTAAGGAGATTGATTCCAACAAATTGAACATGATTCTCCTCAATAAGGCAGATTTCTTAACGGACGAGCAAAGACAAGCGTGGGCGAAATATTTTACAGATATAAATGTACGGGTAGCCTTCTTTTCCGCTACGTTAGCGTCAGAGGAACCGGTGATTCAAGAAGAGGATGAAGATGAAGCGAGATCGACTGATGAGGATAATCGCGATCATTCCGATAATAAGAATAAGAATGAAGATGAGTCGGCGAAGTCTGAATCTGCGTCGGAATCGGAATATGAAAGCGCGGACGATAGTGTCATCGACACATGCGATATACCTAAAGAAACAAAAGCTGATAATAGCGAGCAACAAATAGAAGCTCAACAATGTGACGAATTAGAAAATTTGAAAATCTCCGCAACAGACTCGGAAACAAAGAAAATAATCAATTCGCCGAAATTACTAAACAGGGACGATCTTATAAAATTACTTAAAACGATTTACAGCGGTGATAAAACGTATACAAACGGAGTGACGACGATCGGCTTGGTGGGGTATCCAAATGTCGGCAAAAGTTCTACCATCAATGCCCTGCTTATGAATAAAAAGGTTTCCGTGTCAGCCACACCGGGCAAGACCAAGCATTTTCAGACATTGTATCTGGACAAGGATCTGCTGTTGTGCGACTGTCCGGGCTTGGTGATGCCGAGTTTTGTTTGCACGAAAGCGGATATGATCTTGAACGGTATATTGCCAATCGATCAGATGCGGGACCATGTGCCAGCAATTACATTACTGGCTACATTGATACCTAGGCACGTTCTAGAAGATCTGTACGGTTTCATGTTGCCTGTCCCAACAGAAGAACAGGATCCAAATCGCCCACCGACCGCGGAAGAGCTTTTGAACGCGCATGGTTGTACGTAAATCTTTTATAAAATTACCAGTAAACAAAGATTGAAGAAAATTACATGTTCAATTATTTTTATACATTTATATTACAGAGTATATCTATCTTCTTTTATATATTATTATTTTTTTACATATCAATATCAAATTTGATACATATATTTCTATTATAAATCCTATTTTTGTTGCAGACAATAGAGGTTTCATGACACAGAACGGTCAGCCGGATAATCCGCGTTCAGCGAGATACATTTTGAAGGATTTTGTTAACGGCAAATTATTGTATTGTGTCGCACCGCCGACGCTTGAACAAGAATGTTTTCATGTGTTCCCACCGCGACATCGAAATTTGTCCGCCAACAAGCACATACCGCCCCGAACAGCTCGCGTAAATCAAGGATGTGGAATAACGGTCAACAACTTGGATCGGAAGTTTTTCCAGGATACACACATGAAGGGACGCCGTGGACCTGTACTACAACACCTAATAACGTAATGTCAAAATGTTCGTTTTATTTGTAATCGCTCGTATGTATATATATATATATATATATATATATATATATATATATATAATAGTTTGCGACAATAGTCATAATTTGCAAGATCGATCAATGCGGAGCATCTAAATCCAAAATCCTAAAATCCGAATGAGCATGCAATTGAGATACAATATGTACAATTGTCGGAACATCTTTTTGATGTGTGTATTTTCATATACAAAATTCATTTAATCGGTACAATTAATGTTTTCAGGCACGCGGGATCAACGGTCAGTTTAACGGAATCGACTGATAATCAGTCTGATAAAATGAAAAAACCCTGGAAGATGATTAATAAACATGTTAATAAGAATAAACGTGAGAAAACCCGAAGGCTGTACGCTCATCTCGATCAACACTGAGTGCAAAAAGTAGCACGTCCATGCACTATTTTTCCATCTATTATTCTTTGTAAATTTTACAACTGACTCTGTCATATACGGGCATGCAAACATATACGCACGTTACAGACTTGTAATCCACGTGCAGTCATGTACGATATGCGTACGTGTACATACTTGTATATACATATGCTGAAAAATTAAGTATTTTGTATTTTATATTCTTTCACTTATTTCTCTCCCTTTTTATCCCCACTATCAATATCCTCTCGTCTTGTATATGTCTACAAAATTCGATATCATTCTACAAACTCCGATTAATCATAATGTAATGCCAATTTGACGATATTTTTGTAAATATCGCGATTTGGACAGTACAATTCCGCGAAAAGAATCGTTCATTAAGTAGGAAGCACAAGCGGAATCCCCCATTCGAATTAGAATTCAATCCACACAAGTTGGTGGATGAATATATACGCGATATATATATATGTATATATATTTAGATGTTATACACATAATTTAATTTCTCTTATAATTAAGCTTGAGGTTCGATGAACACCAGGTTTCTGATGATTTTCGTGACGGATTTTCAATAAAAGAGCACGGTATGCAATATTGTCCTTACAAATTTGGACTCAAATTCGTGGAGTAATTCGTCTATGTCATTATCTAAGTCTTCGCTATTCGCCAACTGAAACATATGAGAATGTATTATTAAAGAGAAAATTTTCGAACGTGTAAAAAATGTACGATAAAAACAATACCACTGTTACTAGTTCGCATATAAGAAACGATCCTACTGTGGCCTCTTCGTGATTATCCTGAATATCGATATTAATTAAATGCACCGGTTGATTATCTTCCTTAGTCCTAGATTCCATACATTCAATTACTTGATCATACACGCGCTCCTCACATGTAATTAAAATGTCAAACTTATCCTTGGACAATTGAAATCGTTCTGGTCTAGGTTTTATTCTACGATTCCGATCCAACATGTGCAATAAACCATTTTGTGTATAACTGCATTAATTGTTAAGGAATTTTCTTTTTCATAAAACTATTATCAAACTGTGTAAAGTCTGAGAGAAGCAATTTAAAAAACTTTTGATAATTTCAAATCACAAGCTTCTTATTATATAAAGAAATGAAGAAATATATATATATATATATAAATTAAATATATAAAGTCATATATACAAAAGAAAATTAACAGTTTAATAGCAATAAATTACAAAAATAACGAGAAACATAGATTTATATTATAACAATACAAAATGATGTATACATTTATATTGTGTAAAATGTGTTAGAAATATCAAGAAGCTTATTTATTTATCTATTTATTTTTTCTCTTTGCAAAGGATACTATTGCTTGTCTTTCATTAAGAGATCATTATAGATCTCATCGTACGTAGTACCAAAGTCATAGATATTAGGACGATCCGGAGCAGTTCCAGGCAATTTGACCTTATCGCCAGTTCCAAATGATTTCACGTTGAACCCTTTTTTGCTGAAATACATAATCATATTTTCAAATAATATTCTCCATTTACCATAGAAAGTGAGCTTTGTGCTTAATCCATTAAAGTCTGCGTGTTTTCTATGATTCACAGGAATATTTCAGGAATGAATATTTCAGGAATGAATATTTTGATAATCCTGGATGCAAAAAAATGTTCCCTTTCTACAAGAGAGGGTGTCGTCACACAATCCGGTTAATTAATCGTTTTAATGGATTAACCCTTGCTCTGACAAGTTGACCGCATTATTACCCTAGGAAAGCATGTGCTTCCATGCTCCTGTTCATGTTACTGGAACATATTACGGCTACGCTGATGGAATTTGGCGCCGGCATCCTCTCGCGCGTTCTATCGACCGTGAAAGAGCCGTATTGTCTGGGTATAAGTCAAAGATACTGTCACGCTTGAAGGTTACGTCCGCAAGGTTACGAGAAATGCATTTGATATAGAAATACGGATTTTGACGCGTATCTTTCTTTCTCTCTCTCTCTCTCTTTCCCGATACGCGTGTGTAATATTCGTTTCTTTTTCTTTTCGTACGATCTGAATCTGAGCGTAATAATGGGAGCAACGTGCGATCCGATCAAGTGTCAGATAAAATCGTCTCCGAAAAAGTCATGCGAAATTTTTCCAACGGAAAAGGACAGAGCAATTACGGAGGGGCGTGAGAGAGAGAGGGAGATCGGTATTTACGGAATCCTTTCGTTTTTCCGTCGATAAGATCGTCCCCCGGTCTTTAGCGACATCTGTCAATGGATGGATACATTGACAGAAGAACGTTACCGGCAGAAACAAACATGGCGAGGAGAGTTCAAGAGACGAGATACATCGCTCCTGCTACAACATTTCTACAGATTTTTAACAAAGGTGAGAGACAAAGGTAAAACTTGAAAAAGTACAGTTTAATAGCGACACTATTCAAGTATGGTCGCGAAAGTAGCTTATTCGTGGTCGAACGTTTAATTATCTTCAGTAAAAAAATTGTTTTACAAAACCGCGCGTTTCTCGTGAAGCGAGATGATCGAGTCATCATTGAATCACGTAAATCGATCGAGTTTTATCGAAAAGCTTGCATAAAGGACACGTCAAATTGCGTGAGACGATTATCTATTATTTCATGCGTAAGATTTTTCTGCATAATAGAGACAATTGCGACTGCGAAATGTATCTTGATTCTTTTCAGAAAAAAAGACGACGCGATTTGTGACGTCACTGATATTTCAAAGGTCACGTGACGTCTCGAATCATTCGGATGCGTGCGAATGTTCCTTTCAACGTGATTTCTTCGAAGAGTGCTGCTTTTGCACGCGCCAACGACATTTCCTCGAAGAGTGCTTCGCTTTATCGCATTCATAATCATCAGCTCCTCCGTCATATCGCCGGTGATCGTCGCTGGAATAAAAATCTACCCTTCCTCTACTGTTCCGGTGAGTAAAGTTGACGCATGTATCGTTTGCTCAAATTGTTTATAAATGTTTACAAATTATACAGGGTGTTTTTCAATAAGTACGAAACATTTTAGATGATTTTTTGTCGAAAGTTAAGGAATGTTTTTCATATAAACATTAAAGTTCTAATAAAAAATTGAATGGGGGTTACTAATTTTATCCTCTTATAACAATAAGCTTAAAAATATTAATAAATAACCTTTTTGCTAGTAAAAAATATCCACCCAATTTCTTTAACTTGTTCCAAATTTTTCTAAATTGTTTTCATTTTTTTTGAGAAAAAAATAAAAACCTAATTTTTATCCCTTTTTTTGGAGGAGTGTAACTCTACAGAGAAGAATGTAGGAGTATATGTTTATATGAAAAACCCCCTTTAATTTTCGACAAAGAATCCTCTCAAATTTTTCGCACTTATTAAGAAATACTCTGTAAAGAAATATATATAATATAAATTTTTATATATATTATTTTATACATATGTAAAATTTGTAAATGACATTTATATAAACAATATATATATATATATATATATATATATATATATATTTGTATGCGAGCTTTGCTCCTCCACGGTCGCCATTGATACGGTTGCCATTGATACATTCTATCGAATTTAAATCTCCGGAGACTCGATGAAGGATAATGGAATCGACATCCATTTTCCAAATGAGTACAATACGTCATAAGATAGATGAGATGGACTGCGCGTTTGAATTGAGAGGAAATATGGGCGGGTCGTCATTTCGCGAAATTGCCATATCGCCGGAGGGATTAATTTGCGTGAATCTTTTTTCTCTCACGAACGCGCGAAATCGTCGGACGATTCCCGCGATTCCACAAATCGCATGCGAAATTCGCGCCCGCGCGGCAACGAATCGAAGCGGGAATTAAAGAGGGTCGTCATTAAATTGCATAACGCGGGCTCTCTTGCAAAATCGCGAGATAATGATTAGGCGCCGCCGTATATCTTGGCCGGCAATAAGCCGGCGCGACTCGGCGAAGATTGCGCGCCTCCGAAGGGGCCCCCGAATTAAGGCGGAGTCCCGGACCCCCTTCAATTTTGCGCTCGATGATTCCACCGAGACACTATGTCGCGATTCCTTGAACACAGTTTCGGGTTGCGTTTAAAGCGAGTCGCAATCAAGATGCGCGGAGGAGCTAAGATCGTGCAATAACGATTATACGGACTGTCCCGTTTCTGCCCGTTTATTATTTTTCGTCAACTGATCTCCAGTCGATTCTTCCTCAACGAAAATGTCGAGGCGCTTTTCGAGATGTCCAATTAAGAGCGATTAAAAATTAGAGATGAATTGAGAGCATCGGAAAAGAAAAAATGGAAAAAGAAAATTATATTTTTTAATTTATGTTTCGATACAATTTTTTATTTTAGCGTCTTATTAAAAAATACAGAAATATATAAATATTATGATATTGTTATATATAATATTGTTTACTTTAAATCGATCGAATAAAAATTATTATTTGAAAATAATGTGGCAAAAGCGGGACGTTTTATGTTAAAATAATTTAATGGCTAATCAATTGGCCATTTTATTTCTTTCTATATATTGTTGCGTTTGAATTTACACAATTTACATATAATTTCCGAAATATATCCTAAGTGGATTTGCAATTTTTATAATACATATTGGATTTTTCTAATTTTAGGATTTTAATATTTCCCTAATTTTACATAAAATATTGTATAAAATTCATAGACATATAAGTCTAACATTTTTATTTTATTGATTATCTTTATTAATTCTATATTTAACAATCTTACATATAAGGAATCGTATAAGCTTATACATCATTCCCAGAAAAAACTTCTTATCTCCCTTCAAGAAAAATTTCAAATTATGAAAAAAAATTATAAGAGGTAGAGCCGAGAAATCTCGATTCCCTCGGTGCTCTCGGCTTCTTTTATATCGTGTCTTGTGATTTGGCGCGGAATTGCGGATCGGTGCCCGAGCACTTATCGGCGGTGCTGCTAAAATTAACGCTTCGTAGCTCGAGCTACTTGCGCCTCGCGTAGCCACCCGCTCATCGTTCCGCGAATTGTCGATCGGTGCACGTGCACCGCACGTTGCACGGACAAACAGATCAGCGGATATTGACGAAACCAATTTAGATCCATGGTTCGTCTCTCTCTTTCTCTGTACATGGCCTGTAATGGCGCGCGTTATGCGCGCTCCGCTGAGCTTCGGCGATTGCTTCACTAGTCCACTTAGATGGGAATATTTTAAATGGCGATTGTAACATCGTATGCGATCAACTTTTCAAATACGACCGGACGCGATATGGTCCATTTCTTTACATCGGATTACGCACAATTACAACGCACACGGCCGAGATTACAGCAAAAGAATTTAATGTATATGTATCTTTTTTCAAACTTAAGGAAGAGGGAATAGTCGGGTATTTCCATAGTTTTTTTTGACTAAATATAATTTTAATTTTTAAGATATACATTTATAAGAAATTTAAGAAATAAATAAAGTTAAATGGACGTGGATAGAAAGCATTTTTGAGGCTGAAATGGAGCATGAAAGAATATGAGAAACGATTATTACTCTCCTTAGATATTTTCTTTTTGATTTGTTGTCAATTTATGCATATTACATATATTTATTATAATTGCATTTAATATGAAATAATAAATTGCATTCTAATAATATTAAAATTCTATTAATATTTTAAATGATAATTATATAAAATATTCTATTCTCTAATTTTATTTTTGCCCTCTCTAATTAACGCGAGCGTCGCTTCTCCAGGGAATAATTCCCCTCATGTATATGCGTGATAATGTATCTCCCCTTTCAGGGGAGCGATAGTCGGAGCGCAAAAATAAATTGTGAAAGAAAAATCATTGTGTAGACTGCACACAATCGATCGTTCATCTTACGATAGTCGTAAATTGTTATGTTCTACGTGGCCAATGCCAAAACGCTTTTTAGCCGGATACGCTTTAACTCATGGATATTAATGACAAGCGTTCAGTGACCATGAGAGTCCGCGTTTCGAATAATATCCGACGGTTGTCATATGCATAAACTAGCAGCCAAAAGTCATCCTTACGCGATGCAACGTTCATTAAATTATCCCTCTCCCTCTCTCCCTTTCTCTTCCTCTTACCCTTCCTCCCCGGCGCTCAGGATTACGTATGCGTTCCGCGTCCCGAATATCAATGTCACATTCTACACTGGTAAATCGTACCTATTTGTCTCCCTGTCGAGCTCTTTGCTCCACAGTCGCCAAACCCGCGGGAATAACCGCGACATGTTGGTCACGTAACATCAAAGTCAAGCAACACGAGTGGAGATAAAATTGAATTAAACGTTGACAATTATTATTTTATATCCTCTGCGAATGAAATTTCGAGTTTTAAAAGAATAGAGAAATCGCTTGCGTTCTTAATTATTCATTATATTAATAAATTAGACATAGTAATTTATGATTAATAATAATATGAATAATTATTTCGAATCTTTTTGCAGATATTGCAGATATTATTTACATAGTTTTGTAGATTTTATTTTGTAGATATTATTTACATAGTTTTATATCTCGATTGGCATTTTCTCTGAAATCCCGAGAGATAAATCACACACATTACAATATGAATGATACGATTCTTTAAGATAGTTCTCGCAGTCGCGATTTAGCTAATTTATATCAGACACCTTTTCACGTCATCGTGAGAACTTTATAAATCATGCGAGCAGTAAGAGATTGCACTTCCCTTATTATTAATCTTGGGTTAGCTAATTCCTCGTAAGAACTCGCATAAGAAGCGTTAATAAATCGCGACTGAAAAGAGGATCCTTCATACCCGACTCGCATTAATCCCGGATTAGCCAATTCTTGCTATCGGATGCGTCTGTGAAAGTCGGAAAGTCGCGATCGTCAGAGCGGAAACGACAAGTCTTCTAGACAGAGAAAGGACATGGCATGATTGCGAGGGATCCCTCGTATACCGGAACACGATCGAAATTTCCTCAGTCGCCGAGACTTTCGATTCGGTAGCCGGAGTTTCCGCTTGTCGAAACATAGGAAGAGACATAATTCAAAGAGTTGTCTCTTCCAATCCGATGATTTTCGCGTGACTTGAATAAAAAATTGATTTTCAAGAAATCCCCCTCGCGAGGGAAATCTCGGGTCATCAGTTTTTCATTTTTCATCGGAAATAGAC